AGTAAGTTCGTCAGCAACCAAACCAAAGGAGAGTATCAAAAAATGACTTTTGTTTTGCAATGCCAGCCAGTAGAACGAAGATGCAATAGTAGCATAAAAGAGGAAGTAAGTAGAAGTTTTTACAGATCAACCCGTTCGTCCGTTTCCTTCACATATCACAATCCATCAGCAGTTAAAGGCAAATCCAAATGACACAAGGAAATAAATAAAAAGCAACAAAATCAGATTCAATAACATAGCATAAGATCATAAAAGGGTTCATCAAGGAGACAAAGAAAAGACGTTACAAACATTCATCAAGATCAATCAACACGTAAAGAGTCAGATACAATAAAGAAAAGAACGGACGACCTGTAAAAACTCCATAATTTGACTGGCCAGAAAACATAGAAAAGTCATTTTATCTTGCAAACAAGAAACTCCCAAGATATTGCAGATAAATCCCGGGGGTTCAGAATGGTTGTTGGTTGGTGGTCGTACATGGTGTCATTGAGCGAGAAAGAAGCAAAAAAGTCAAATGCAGTAAGCGCCAAGGAGAAAAAGCAGAAAGTTCATATGCCCGAAAACAATATTTCTTTTGGGAAACGTTGTTCTTGTTGTTGTCACAGATCATCAGTTTGCAGTGGATAAAATTGGTCGTTGAAATGAGTTTGGTCGTAGAAGTGAAGTGAGGGAGGGAAATTGTACATGGTTCTCGTGTCGTAGTGTAAAAAGGGAAGAAAAGGCATAAAAATCATTTCGCGTCTTATATGCATGGGTTCCAAATCATTTGCGGTCCTAAATCGTTAAAAGTCTTGCACATTTGGCTGGTAAGCCTGAGTCGTTGCATCGTCAAAGTTCGCCGATCATTTGATGTTTTTTCGTTTTCCGTGTCATATTTCTTGTCGGTCGTTATCGTAGGTTTTTGTTCCGTTATGGTCGTTTCTCTTTAATCCATGAAGAATTCTTTGGTCATGACATCCGAGGCTTGTTCGTCCACTTGGAATTGGAAGAAGAAGTCGTCGGCCATGACGGGGCCCGAGGAGAAGGGCTTGTTGGGGAACAGTTCTAGACCACCTTCAAAGGACGTCGTGTTCACATAGTCAGGGAATGGCGCCATGTCAGAGTCAGCCAGGTCTCCAAACTCGGGCTTTCCGAAACTAGAGGTCGAATCTTGGCTGATAAAGATGTCGAGATCAGATCCATTGGATGATTCGGACAGGGTGGGAGCAGCATGGGGCGACGATAGAGAGTGGCTGGCAGCACCGGAAGCATCTGTGTACGGGCATGTCTCCGGGTCAGACATGTAGGGCAAGCTGGAGTCCGTGACGAGACTTTCGAGAGGCTGCTTTGATGGGGAGGAAGGAAGCATTTCGTCTTCTGAGCTGGGGGTAATTGATCTCTCGTCCCGAGAAGGCGACGGCTTGATTCCCACGCTGTATCCCGGAGATGCAGGAGGCGTGAACGTGAAAACCTCTGGTGGCAACGAGTAGTTGGGGTTGTTGAACACCGGCATCTCTTCCGCTGGGCTAGAGCCGTGGAGACTCATATTCTCGAAGACTTCGGAAGGAGGCGTGTTGCGTGAGGACTCGGATGTGGAAGAGTCAAAAGATGACTTCTCTGCGATCCTCTGGCGCGTTCTCGATGCTTTGTCTTGCCTCTCATCCATCTCTGGTCGGTGCTTCTTCGGACGACCCCGTTTCGTTGTCTTGCGCACAATGCCCTTGTAGCCGCCAATACACATACCACGCTGCCGGTGTCGAGTCAAGGCGTCGTGTCTCGCAAACACATTACCACAAAGACACTCATAGGGTTTGTCGCCGGTATGAATTTTAGCATGACGCTTGAGGTCGTGACCCCGAACAAAGCACTTGTTGCAATGATCGCACTTGTACTGGCGGTCGCCCAGGTGGGTCTGCACATGTGACTTGATATTCTCCTTTCTTCCAAAGCGGCGCTCGCAGCCCGGGTGCAGGCACACCCATTTTCCGTCCTCCGGGTCAGGCCCGTGAATGTACGACGCAATCTCGTCAATGGTGACACCCGTTTCTTTGATGGAGGCTTGCACGCGAGCGTCGAGATTCAAGTTATCAATGGATGCGACGCGTGGAGAAAGCTTCGGCTTGGCCGCTGAGCTAGGTGTTGCACTGGGCGTCTTCCTGTGGTGCGGACGGTTGGGAGTGGCAGGATAAATAGGTATTTTTGGTGTCTTTGCACCGTCTTCGGGGCAAGGCATAGCCGCAAGCTCGGGAGATGACATGAAGGATGACGATGCTGACGACGACGAGGCATACTGGCTTTGTGAAAGACTTTCCGACTTAGGAACCTCAAAGCTAGAACCCTGCTCATAGTTAAAAGTATCAAAGTTATCCACTTCAAATGATGCTGTGTTCGGGGGAGAGGACACATCAAACTTCTGCTGCGTGAAAGTAGTTCCAGCCACGCCTTGGAGAGACTTTGCTCGCTGCATGTACGACGACTGGGCTGATCCGGGCATCGCGCTACCCTGGTCTTTGGTGGATCCTGACTGGATGTCCCCACCGTACTGAGCTAGGCCCACGGTTTGCTTGAATGGTGTTGTCGCTGGTGTAATCGGCGCATACTCTGCACAATGCATTAGTATCTTGCGCTTAGCAGAGACCCGAGGAGTCATAAACGTACGTGTATTGCCGTGCTTAGGCGTATGCGGGTGCTGAGACGGAGTAGCTTCCGACTGCACCGATAACTTCCTTACATCAGCTTGACCGGGAAAAGTTGGCTGGTAAAAGTCCCAAAGTCCCGTCTCGAAAAATTGACCTTCCGTTCCAGATCCGCACGGAACCTTAGCGCTGTGCATCTGTTGTTGCTGCATCAGGTCGAAGTGCAAGTTCATATGCGGAACGTCCTTCCCGAAGGGCGCATTCAGGTAGGCCATACTTGGTTGACTATCCTGGCCATTGTGACTTTGAAGGTTTTGCACCTCTTCCGCGGTGAAGCAGTCGGTAATGACGGGCATGGGAGCTGATTGCTGGGGAAACGACGGCTGCGCTACACACAGGTATCGTTGGTGTTGGCTGTCCCCAAGCATATTCGGATGATGCGGCTGCGGTACTGTTGTGTTAGTAGTATGAGTTGTACCATCTTGTATGGATTGCGATCTCTGGACACGCAAAGCTCTGTTGTCAAAACTCTGTCCCCGACGATGGGCATGATAGCGATGCATCGCTTGCGCCGGAAGACTGGGGGCTTTCACGGCATCAAGAGCGGACGGCGTCGAGATCTGCCGCCTGTGTTGTCGATGTCGCTCATGGAGGTTGCTGTGCGCCGTGGACAGCATGATGGGCGAAAAGGGTCTCTTTCTTCGAGCGCGTATCGCAAGGTGCTTGACCGACGGATTGACAGACCTTGGTGTTTGGTCGGATCTGGAGGATTTAAATGCGTAAGCTTTCTGCACCATGTTACTGTGCAAGAATTCACATCCAGCGCCGAGAGTTACCAACCTCACGCAATACTAGCCACGCGGCTGGGCCGACAAGATGGTAATGAACCGCCCTGCAGTGGTGTCAGTCGGTGATCTCCTCAATTAGAACACTCACGCTAGGAAGAAAAAAAGGTTAAAGAAGACGCAGAAGAAAGAAGGAAAGCAAGCGCAGCAGTTAAGGAATTAACGCAGCCTCTGCACTAGATCTATGCAAAGGAAGATTTCTTGCGACAGCTATCTAAAATGCGCTGGACAAGTCGCAAACTGAAGATGCAATCGAAGCCCTTATAAAAAAGCTTTCCCTGCAACGCAAATTGGTAGAAACGGGCTGAACACTCCTGCTTCAATAAAGGTTGGGAAGATGGAAAGGTAAGAACCAAGGAAGTCTTTTAAGGTATTTAGAGGTGGGAACCAGGGAAAGGTGGATGGAGATGATGAAGCTATCCCGATCTATCGCCCACGGTTCAGATCAACAATGGCGTGGTTGGCCTAGCAACAGGGTCGGCTGAGGCGTCAGGGAAACCAGCGCCCCTTGGCATGGAGCCCGGCGATTTGGCCAGCGCAGTGGATCGCGCCCTGGTTCCAGCACGGAGCATTAGCAGCCCGCCGCAGCAACCAGTGGTCCGAACACAATTAAAGCTTACGATCCGGCAGGTTTAGTTGCAACCTGCAAGGAGGTTGCTTCTCGCCTGGCTTCTACCAGCGGTCCAGACAACCACCCTATCTCCATTATCGATCTAATCCCACATTTTGCCTCTTATAAAGGACGGGAGGAGGCGACCTGTGGCCTGTGAGGGTTTGAAACATTATTTCACCCTTCCTCTGCAATAGCCCATTTAATAATTGACTCCTGTCCGCATGTTATTCAATCAATAATTAGCAACTGAGCCGGAGGGATGGGCGGGCAAATGATGACGATGACGAAGTTGACGTCGATGCTCTGAGAGGCTGGATTTGCACCAAGTCTAGTTGGTTTTAGTTCTAGTCGTACTTTCTGCCTGGCTTTTCCGTGCCGTGTCTCTGCCTGGCGATGCAGGCACCAAAACTGACGTATCCAAGAAACCGTTGTCAATGTCATCAGTCAGCAACATCAACATCCCGTGACCTCTGCCGCCAGACAATCACATGACCGAGGACCCGGAGGGCTGATTATCCGAGTGTCCACCCGCACTACGCCTGACTCGGTAATCTGGTTACCACGTGACCGCACAACCGATTTTAACGAAGCCCACCACCACCGAGGATATTTTCCTACCACGATCGTCGAAGGTTTAGGAAGACAAGTCTTGTCGAGGTGAGTTGAGGCCCCTATACATTTTACTATGTGACAAAGAAAAAGAGAAACAATATCGTCTGCGACATCTCATCGTCATTTCTGTCACTTATCCCAGAAAAGGATCTCGTGTGCACAACGTAGCGCGCAAGATACAAAAAAACCCTGGGGCGAAAATATGTGACCAAGAAACGAAGATGAGATGCGAAACGCCGATGATATTCAACCCCTATCTTTGCTCAAAACAACAGTAGAATAATCAACTAACAACCTATTTTCTCTCAAATCAGACCTTCATCAAGATGCAGATCTTCGTCAAGACCCTTACGGGTAAGACTATCACCCTCGAGGTGGAGTCCTCGGACACCATTGACAATGTCAAGTCCAAGATCCAGGGTAAGCATACACACACGGCCTACATAATCCAGTTAGAACATATTCTAATGATGATGTTCAGACAAGGAGGGTATCCCCCCCGACCAGCAGCGTCTGATCTTCGCTGGTAAGCAGCTTGAGGACGGCCGTACTCTTTCGGACTACAACATCCAGAAGGAGTCCACCCTCCACCTGGTGCTCCGCCTGCGTGGTGGTGGTAAGAAGCGCAAGAAGAAGGTCTACACCACCCCCAAGAAGATCAAGCACAAGCACAAGAAGACCAAGCTTGCCGTCCTCAAGTACTACAAGGTCGACGGTGATGGCAAGATCGAGCGTCTTCGCCGCGAGTGCCCCTCCCCGGAGGTATGTTTAATTCCGCCTTGTGGTTGAACTTGCTGTTGGCGCATCTTACTAACTTTAACTCTCCTAGTGCGGTGCTGGTATCTTCATGGCCGCTATGCACAACCGCCAGTACTGCGGAAAGTGCCACCTCACCTACGTCTTCGACGAGTCCAAATAAATGGACTAAGTCGATCGTCTCGCCATGTCTTCTTTCCGGTAGCGCCTAGCAATGTCGGTCGTGAATGTATGGTGGATGAGGTTGGGACGTGTGCGCTTTGATCGTCCCATAGTGCCCGAGCAATGAGAAATGAAAAAAATTCGAAACCGCTCTCAATTCAACTACCTAATCGTAGACAACCTACATGTAAATGAGAAAAGCCTGCTCAACTAAACTGATAGATAATGAGGGTATCAATCGCTCTACTGAAATGCGTTCCTTAGGTTGTCGTACTTGCTCTCAGGGTAGGAGAGCACATTCTGCGATTGGTCGAGGGCTGACACGCCTCCAATCCCTTCCACGAAGGTTCCAATCAGACTGCCGTCAGCTTTGTTGGCCGTCTTTCCTCCTTTGTCGCCGCTGGTTTCCCACCACATGCCACCGCCGAGCTGAAGCTTGGTGATATAGTCCAACTTCATCTCGCCCACGGCCACAGTGTCGTAGGAAACCATGGTGCGTGCCGTGGAATCATAACTCCAGGATGCACCCAGGCTGGCATCGACATGTTCAGTGGCTCCTGTTCTGGGCAGCGCTTTGTAGTCCCAGACACCTTGCTCCCAGCTTCCCTGTCCGACCCCCGAGAATGCGGTCCCGGGTCCATCAGTGTTGGTAAAGGCACGCCCATACAGCGGCATTCCCAGGATTATCTTGGACGAGGGGACCCCACCCTTCTGGATGTAGTAATTCACTGCCTCATTGGTTGAGAATGGCGTCGACGCTGGCTTGTCAGCCGAAGGATACAAGTTGGCTTGATGACCAGCAACAGTGTCCCAACTTCCAGCATAGTCGTAGGCCATCAAGTTGTAGAAGTCCAGGTATGGCGTCATCTGAGACAGCTTGAGCTTGGTGTAATTAGCAGGACCTACATGAGATCAGCATTCACTGGGTCTAACTTGGGTCTCGCCCCGAGTGAAACAAATAATATTAATCCACTTACCAGCTGGACAAGCGATAGTGAGAAGGAACTTCCTGTTCGCACCAGCAGTTGCATCCAGAGTCTAGACAAAGTTAGTGCATGCGTGCGCGCAATACGATCGAGGAGAAAGCTCACCTCTCGGCACTTCTGAAGCAGAAGAACCATATTTTGCGCTTCTGTATCATCTGTAGGTGGTCGTCTTAGTATCCACATCTAACTGGTCACTCATCTCCCCAACAATCCCAGACACTAACCTTTGGGGTACTCCCAATCAATATCGATGCCTGCAGTCACCAGTATTAGCGAATCATTTCCCACGCATTGTCACAATCCAGTCACATACCATCGAATCCAAGATCAGTGACCAATTTAGTTGCAGTCTCAGCAAACTTAGTGCGGCCAGCATCAGTGCTAGCGGCCTGAGCGAAATTGGGAGAGTAGGTCCAACCGCCAATGGAGAGCAAGACCTTCAACTTCCTATTTTGCTGCTTGAGCAAGAACAACTGCTTAACACAGCCATAGACATTGGTACCGACGTCATTCCAGGAGTCTGTGGGGTAGTGCTTCTCAATGTCCGACCAGGTGTCGGACAGATAACTGTGGCGAGAAGTCAGTGCGGCTGATCCGGTGGCAAGGGGGTGATCAGCCATGTGCTGCAGAAAAGTAGAGAGCTCACACTTCACCAGTGTCCGGGCGAACGTTGGCAAATGCGTATAGGACATGAGTCAGCTTGTCGGCCGGAATGTCCTGAGGATTGTAGTTGCGGCCATAAATCGCCTAGCATTGGCATTAGAACTACTACTATACGGGTGGACTGGCCTCCCGTGTCGGGTTGGGATACGGCAGCCAAGATCGAGTGCATTCATTCTCACCCAATTGACGAAGTAGGCCACGGACTTCAGACCAGAAGACATGGCTGGGATGGTAGCGTTCGTGTCGGTAGTAGGTGCAGGATTGGGCTGGAGCGGAAGCACAGCTGCGTCATTCCAAAAGTACCGAGCAGAAAGGATAAGAACAACGAAGAGAAGTACGAGACAGTGGATCAATCGCGAGAAAGCCATGGTCGGCAAGAATCAAAAGCACTTACCAGCATGCAAGAGGCTGGTAAACAAAACCCGGGAAGAGTCAGTCGGAAGGAACGAACGATGCAGCAGGGGGGGGGGGGGGGGTGGGATGATTGTACCTGCCTTAGGTCACCTCTCCTGTATGGTACTAAGTACACTATATAAATAACAGCAGTTCGGACTTCTGATTGGCTCAGGGTCAATCGCGGCGGTGCAACTGTGGCTGCAGGAGACAGGTGGTCTGCGCTTATGTGATCATCAAAATGTGGCTGACTGGGATTTCAGGAAGCTGATGGGCATCTACTACTCCAGGAGTCTAATGGAAGGATCCCGAATTTATATCTCTATTCGGTGAATAGAAATCTGTCATGTTCGGCTTGTGAAGTCCTCTTGAAACACAAGTTGTGCCGTTGGTGGCGTCGGTCATTTCTTGTCTGACCATGCCATGCTCTGAATTGTAAAACATAGTCTTCCTGGCTGTATAATTCTCCATGGCTACGACACTATATCGTGTGCTTCCTTGATTCTTCTCATCGAGGGGAGGATAGATGAGACTAGACCGGGTAGAACAAAGCGGGGACGCTTAAGACTCCTCAAGTGATCTGTGCCTGAGTATCTGTCACGAGAACAAGGAGATCGGCTATCGGGGAGGGATCTTGGTTCGACAATCCAATCCCCAGACTTGCATAGATCGTCCCCGGTGCATCTCAGTTCAGATGACATTCCTAAGGGGATATTTACAACCGCATGATGTATCTCGGGGTAGTTCACGTCTCCGGAGATATCATGGGAGCTGAGGTTACAACTTCCCGACGTCCGGCATGACCGTGGGTAACATCGAAGTAGCAGGAACTCTATGGTCCAGTGCTCTGTGATGAAGCGGTAGTTCAAAAGTATAGTCCACGTAAGGGAGCACTGAATGACTTGCTCCGACCAGACCATTGCGAGGTGGGAGCGCGCGCGCATGATGCATCTCGCTTGTTCTGGACTATGGAGACCATCACGATTACCGGTCTCATCCTCGTCAAGATCGAGGCACGGGGAGACAGGGGTAGATGCAACCATAGTGGTAGTAGCTATTAGTTCTGTAACGAGTAGAAAGCATTGTCGAGGCACGGTCGAATGAGAGGAATAGCGGAAATGAAACTAAGGAATGAGCATTCACCGTTGTACCATGATCCTGGCCGAACGTGACAGATGACACTAATCCTGCAACCTCGTGGCCTAGATTTGGGGACCCATCGACGACCGAAACGGACATCAACTCCCAGTCACTAAATAGATAGTTGACTAAATTAGTTAGTTAGGACCAGGATACGTAGTCATCACCTTGATCGTAAAACAAGAGGGTCCATCCGGGAAAGATGATCAGTGAGCGGCAGCAAGTCCGACGGGATCCCCGCCTCGCCAGTGACTGAAAGCCCTAAACCAGACCAGGAAACAGATTCAGAAGAATTAAGAACGTGAAAGCGACCGAGTGGATCAGTTTCCAGGACCTTCTCAGCTGAAACCTTTGCCTCTATCGCACAGCCGGGGCACTGATTGGCGCGTGGGACTTTAAGCTACTGCAGGGCACGGTTGCATGGCCACAGTTTGAACCCACCAGCATTGCAATTTGGAGCAGATCTGCCAAATCAGAAACTGACATGCGATGAAAATTTTTTCAAACTGGTTGAGAAGAATGGACAGATCTCAAGGGAACCGCCGTGCATCTGCGTCAGAGGCCATTCCCTAAATTGTTTTTTCTTTTCTCCATTTCGTTTTCCGGGCGCATGCAGCAATGGATCCTCCCCGCCCCATCCAGTTCAGCTGGGATGTCCTCGACCAGCTGCACCCAAGATTTTAGCAGCGACCCAGCACTTCGGTAACTCCGGCGGCTGTCATTGGATGAGTCGAACGTGAGGATTTCGTTTCGTGTCTATCTGTCGCTCCCGCCAGAGCGTTTCGCCCCTCGACACGGTAAATTTGACGCCAATGAGAAAAAATCGACTCCAGCAATTCAGCTGGTAGGCCGTTTCCCGCATCAACCCTAGCCATGTGGACAAACTGGAACTTACTACTATTCCGAGCAAACTCAAAGGTTCCCGTTTCAAAAATTCTGAATAATTATTCGAACATTCTCCCCTTTCTCCACATTAACCCGCCGGGTCCACAGCGCGGGCTTGCCGACTGCTTGACAGGAAACGACTGGCAAGCCACGCGCTATCATCCTTCTCTTTCGACATCATTGTGGCGTGTCGCAGAAGTAGACCGTTGCCCATGTGGATGGTTTTGGTCGTACCAATTCCCTCGGCTAGGAGGAATTCGTAACATGCCAAGTACTAACAAGTACTATCACCGATAGATTGATTGTTCGCTTCAGCTTTGCAGAGCGGAAAATTGATCCGTCAATAATGAGGAAAGTGTCGGAGTCGCACTAGTCTACCGCTAAGGCAGCAACATCCCTGCCTTGGGTTGCATACTTGCATCGATAGTCCCAAAATAATCTGGCTGCTCGGAGCAACTCCAAGGCAATTTAGGGAAATAATTACCAAAATGAAGCACATTGAGAAACAAAAATAGAGTAAATTGACTCTCGCGGGGGGATATCCAATTAAATCGCATCTAGCGTAAGCCATAATTCAAGGGGGATATCAGGACATGAAGAGAAACCGAACAAAGTAGCAGATCAACATGAAAGCCGAAAAGAGCCAATGCAAAGAAGAAAAAGTATAACCGAACAGAATAGACGTATCATAGGGAATCAAACTGCTTTTCTTTTCCAGAAAACAGAGCATGACGAGCGACCTGCGCCCAAAATTGCGGATAACAAACCGCCCACATCAAGGGTATACCGAAATAACCAAGCAAATTGGTGCTGTAAGCCCGAAAACCATTCAGAACATCATATATCCATACACAACAACTTCTCGTCGTCCCGAAAGAATCAGGTGTATAGTAAGTTGCACATCGTGAGCCCAGCAATTCACGGGTGAGAACGGATCCAGGTAAGGATCACTGGCAGGGAAGGATCGTCGGCAAGCCAATGACCTGCCCGCGTGTCTGCAGCCCGGAGATCAGCAACAACGTATTGATCTGTCACTTGAGCCATTTCCTATTGTTGTATTCAGGGTCAGCCAATGGTTCAATGATCGTAATGCTCAGGGTTTTGCTCACCTGTCGGAACGTGTTGCTCACAGTCTTAAGTTGAGCAGTGTGTTGAGGTCCAGGTTGCTGTCCGCGCAGGATGTTCTGACGGTTGATAGCCCATCTTCTGGCGGCTGCCACGCGAAGGTAGATACGATGGGCTTGAAAGCGACGGGCACTGGCGTCAAGAATCACTCTTTGCAACTCCGCCTTCTCCGTCTCCACGTTCGACTGAGCAGGTGTCATGCTGGGATTGTAGTTCGACGACATCAACGCCTGGGCGGCAGCCAGGCCTTCTCTGATCGTCTTGTAGCCCTCTTCGTTGGCTTCTGCACTCGGGATTTGGACGTTCTGCTGAGAGATGTGCACAAGTAGAGTTCGGTAGTCGTTGATGATTTCGGCCACACGCAGGGCACGTGCTTCGTTGACTACAACATGTCAATGCCATTGACGACTCCAGGGTAGTGTGGTAAAGTGAAGAAGTCGAATACTTACGTCCGTCAGCCATTGCAAGTGTAGTAAACTTGAAGTTGCCTCCGAAAAGTGATTAAAGGTATGTAGAGATGAAGGGTGCAACAAAAGGCACTCAAGAGAACTATATCCAAGAGGAGAGAAAGAATTGAGTGTGCTAGAGTAACGGTCAAGTCAATTGACTAGAAGAGACAAGGCGACCTTTAAATTGTTGTTGAATCGAGCTCTAATGTCTTGTATGATATTACTATCTGAAGGCCGAGGGTGGGATATCCTTTTAAGCTTAACGTTCAGCCATGGATACTTTGAATGACCATGGGCCATCAGCCCGGCGATGGGGAACATGGTGAAAGAGGATCATCATCATCAGTAGTGGCTGGCTGCGTTGACGGACGCTGATGGAGAAAGGAGGACATCACAGCTAGGGACTGCAGCTGGATAATGACACCCATTGTGGATCAATAGTAGGAAACGGGCCCCATGAGAGCCATGTGTCCGAAAGGGCCTGGGATGTCCACCCACGGCGAATGGATCTAAGGCTGATATCTAAGCGCGACGCTAAGCAGCTGGTCCAGGTAGGGGGATCAATGCTTATGGGTCTGCATATGCATAAGGGAAATGAGAGATACACAAAACTGGGTCACGGCATTCGGCGATAGCAGTCAACGCAGGGGTGGGAATATTGGGGAAAAGAAAATCAACACTAGAAACGATATTCAAGACTGGGGCCGGGCAGAGAGAAAGAGACTCCACCGGCTTGTGGGTGGAGAAGGTGGACAGGGTGATACATCGCCGCATGTGTCACAGAAGGACCACACCAGTGGGAAAACCGATAAAGCCACAATGAAAATTTTATTATGAATTATTTTAGTATATTTTGACTTTTTTGGGGTTTAGGGGAAAGTGCTGGATCTTGGTTCATCTTGCAGATTGGGTGGAGACGGGCAAGCATGTAGCAGATGGACCATCAACCCATGGCATGATTAGTTAGTCTAATCCTAGTGAGTAAGTAGTGGGACTCTAGGTTGTCAAAGACACACTAAAAAAAACGAAAGAGAATGTAAGTGGGAAGTGCGAGTTACTGCCAGCTGGGATGAGGGTCATCCACCCTCGGTAAACGCCACACCCTAGTGATTCATAGTTCACATCAGCTGCAAATTGGGACGGAGATATCGACAAGAAGGGAATAATCGAGTGCCAGTGCAGGGAAATCCTCGCAAAAATTGGCTTTGACACTGACTCGGTTTAGGTTCAGGCACCGTTCGGTCCCAGGGCGAACAGGCAAGGGCGTCAAGAGCAGAGTACAACGAGAAAAATCAAAAAGAAAAAAGAAGCAAAATGGACAAAGATAGAACGGCGGCCAAAAAGAAACCGCGAAAGCCACAACTTCCAGCTCAGCCACAAAGAGGCGAGTAAACCAGCTGAAAATGGAAAAGCAAACACCGCAGCCTCAGGCTTGAAGTTTACTCGCGCAATCCACCATTGACTTGGTTCTTACTACTCCATACTACGGAATTCTACTAGTTCCTTCCCGTCGTTCATCCGGGGCTGTTGCTCTCTCCTTCCTTGTCTGTCACTTCACGTCTACTTGCAGGATACGAACAGTACTAGTAGTAGTATCTCCGTCCCGACCTCCTTGGTGGCAAGTTTCATCTTGCTCCTCCAATGAGCATGGTCAACGTTGCTTCAGTGCAAAACGCTGGCCCGGAGAGATTGCTTTCCCATCGAGGGCTAAAGCTTGCAGAGAGCACGCTCAATACTTCATAGCAGTAGACGTCTGACATTGCTCTGCATGGATAATCCCGGTACCGCCGTTCCTTTCTTTAGTAACAAAGTGCTGCAGCATGGAACGTGCAGATAAGCAACTTCCTTCTCTGAGCCTGTCAGATCGCAAAGACCATACTTTATCGCACCGTGCTTGTCTATCCCCATATTCGCCACCAGTCCGGAGGAACAGGCGACGGGTCTTTCCGATACAGGAGCCCCGGTTACAGTAGCTGCAAGGGGGCTTTCCAGGTTTTGGGTGCCAAGTACAACAGCGGTGCAAAAAGCAAGTCAACCGACCAGGATGGGGAATAAAGTTTCGTCAGACACAGGCCAGCTCATGGCATCAGAGTAAAGTAATGATGTTCATCGATCGTTTGCGTCTACCAACATGGATGCTCCCAGTAAAAAACAATGAAACCCAGCTCAGTCCTTCTCGCTGATAGCCTGCAGTCGTTCGTCGATCTCATCCTCCGTCAAACTCCGGAAACCAATGTCTGTCCCTTCCTGGCCATCTGCTCGTGGCCCTCCCACGATTCCGATCTCCAATTCGTGTTTCTTGAAATCGACACTCAGCACATTGCTCAAAGCCGTGATTCCCAGCTCCACCACTTCCTCCCAGCTGCCGTCAGCGTACTCCTTGTTCTTCAGCTTCTTCTCCAGGTAAGTGATCGCCTCTTGCTGCTTCGGTCCAGATGCAGTCGCCTTATATCCGATATAGTATCCGGCAGGATCGACCTTGTAAAGCTGGGGACCCTTCTCCGAATCAACGGATACCAGGGTAGTGGCAACTCCGAGGGGACGCATGTAAGCCTAGAGGGTGAACGTGATCCATAAGCCAATTTCCCGGGCAAGACTTCTGAAGCAGGTGACACTTACCCTTTGCGTGTAGACCTGATTGATATTGCCAAGTCGCTTTGCGAGGACATCACAGGGCATCTCGTAGCCATACTTGTATCGGAATTCAGCCGCCTCACCACGAGCACGGTCAACACTGGCCCTCGCATCGGCGATGGAGCCGGTCATCACACAGCCCACTGACGGGGAAAGTCTGAAAATGTACGAAACGGAGGAGGGGTCGATCAATTTGTCCTGGTATATTTATCAGAGGATGACCGACAGGCCGTCTCGGGCGGCGGGGACGAGCTTACAGCAACTTTCTTCTGGGACAGAACCACAGCGCAGTTCTTGCCCTTCACACCTATCGAGGTGATGTTGGCCGAGGTGATAGCCTTAAAGGCATATTCTAAGCGCCGAGGGCATCAATGGTGAGTAGGCGGTCTTGATGGTCTAACGTGGTCCGTGATCGGAGTACTTCGAAGGTCGTCGGGGAGAGGCGGTGCTAATGAAGAGAGGATCACTTACCAACTTGGTACAGACGACCCGAGTCCGAGAAGATGGTAATGTGTCTGTCATATGCACTTCCTGATCACAGAGGTTGTCAGTTTATCGATGAAGTCATGGAAGCCGGTTCAGTCAAGAGGGTCCGGGAAGTCTCACCAGACATGATGGCGGTGGTATATCAAACTCGATTCGAGATTACAATGGAAGTTAAATAGTCTTATAGCAAAATGAAAATGGAATCGAGATGGGGGAATGAAGGATCGAGGACGAGGGAGGAGGGACGTTAGCAGAGGACGCGTGCCAGAGGGTGCCTGGCCGGAGCTCTAAGCTTTGGGTCCCCGTTTGAGTAAGCTCCAGCGTCACCGCCTTCACGGCTTCATCATTGTGCCGCTCAGCTATCATCGCTCAACGATCAACTACGTATTGAGCTACCTTCAACTATTGAAAATTGTTCTTCTCGACTTTTGGTCTTTGTGTCTTTCATGTTGTCTGCCGTGGAATCTGTTTAGAGCGATATCAGTAGTACCGGTGATTAGTAGTACTTAAATCTTGGTGCTACCTCATACTATATATACTAGTGTAGTACTACTGTCATCATGATCTAAACAAATGGAGTGGTTTTAAGGCGTTGAACCTAGCTGTGATCTAGTATTCATTCTATGAATATTACCAGAAGTTTTGAAGTCATTTTTACTAGTTGGGAAGAAATTATCGGCTGCTGTTGTCATAGAGAGATAGAATCGGCCCACTAAAGGAGCCTTGCATCTACTTAGAAAGTACTATACTACGAGTAGTCTACTCATCTACCTTTTATCATGATGAAATTCAGTTTAGCAATAGCAGTTAGGCAACTACCAGAGTTGTGGTTGATCAAGCTATAGCGATGTCTATAACTGGACATGATGATGGTCTATATGTAATCTTCTATAAACATCTCGCTTTTTTGTGACATGACGATCAAACAGCAGGTCATTGATAGGTGGTGTGAACACAAGAAAGCACGAGCACCCGACAATCCAAAAGTGGCATCACAGCTAGTCGCTCGAACTTGAGCTATCCGAATCGCTGTCGCTCTCACTGCTGCTGCTGCTGCTGTCACTATCACTGTCACTGCTGTCCTTAGACGACGAGGCTTTAGCAGCTGCAGGCTTAGTCTTGGTCTTCTTCTCATCGTCACTGTCGCTGTCGCTATCACTGTCGCTAGAACTCTCGCTCTCACTGCTGCTCGAGATCTCAACGATAGCAGTACGGTTCTTCTTCTTTTTCTTGCCAGGCTGGGCCTGAGCCCCCTTCTTTCCTTTCTGCGCAGCAGGCTTGGGCTTGTGATAATTGAACAGCGTGCCGTTAACAGCAAACAGAATGAGCTCGGCCCGTGCCCTGTTCTCGTACTTCTTCAGCGTCTCCGCATTGAGCTGCGCAGTAACATCCTGACAATCGATATCTTCTTGACCTGCAGCCAAGCGCGTCCGGAAGACACCAACAGCCTTGTCGTAACTCGCCTTATCCGTCGCCGCGGAGCTCTCGTTGGCCTCAGAAGAAGAGCCCTCCTTCGACTCCTCCGTCTCTGCAGGAGCACTAGGTTGATCCTCCTCCGCATCAACCTCCGCCTTGATGACCTCCTCGGCAATCTGTCGCAACCGCAACTTGGCACCTTCGCTCTTCAACCCCTGTAAATAGGCAAGCAAAGCCGCATTGTACAGCGTCGGGACCTGCTCCAGCGACAAAACATGCTTGAAGAGATGCGTCTCGCGATTCTTCTGGAACTTCCACGCCGACCGGTGCTTGTGGTACAGACTCAGGTAGGAAAGGATAGGCGTTTCGTGAATTCTCGGTGTCGTGGTGGATGAAGCATCATTCGAACCGTCCTGCTTCTTGTTCTTCTTCTTCTTTTCCTTCTTCTTCTTCTTTCCCTCGCCTTCATCATCGGCCTTGTCCCCGGTATCATCATCACCATTACCCTCAGCATCAACCTGCATTTTATCCTGCTCCTCTTCCTGATCGTCCGCATCACCATCCAATTTCTTCGCGTCCTCCGAAAACGACACACTCTTCTTCTTCTTCTTTCTCTTCTTCTCCGCATCATCCTCCTTCACCTCCTTACCCTCTCCCTCCTCCTCCTCATCATTCTCAAGCCGTCTCTTCTTGCTCTTCTTGCGATCATGCTTCTTCTCCACATTTGTTTCCCCAGCGTCCACATCTCCCTTTTTCTTTTCCGTCGCCTCCACCGTATCCTTGGCGTTCTTGAGTTTCAGACCCATCTTCTTCCAAGCCGGGATGTGTTGTTGTTCTTTGTGCTGTTGTGGAGATTCTTGGGGGCTGCTCGACATTGAGCGATGCGACGGTATCGTAGTAAGAATCGTTCGATCGATTTCGCGGACCGGGCAATAGACAAAATCAAACAAGAGTTTTCAGTGTATATGAGTCGCGTTGTCCCAAATATAAGAACAATGGGGAGTACAACGGAGGACAAATTTGTAGTTTAGTGGTGAATAATAAAAGATAGTTAGGTGTATGAGGTTGAGGATCGCTGGTCGCCAGAAAGTTTTGGGGAAATTTTCCACGTGAGGGTGCGGAGATAAAATAAAATTTGGGTGGATTTATCTGGATTTATCTCCGCTTTGGTTATCTACTACAAAAGTACGGAGTATCTAGTAAGGAATATAATTAATTACAAGGGAGGGACATGTAACTTTCTTACAATCTATTGGTTCTAGTAAAATTGATTGACTATACATGAAATCGTTATAACTTCTCATTTTATGAATTTTTATGAATTTATCACTTCGCTTCAGTTCCCATTCAGCCCGTACCATGCCATCCATACTTCCATCCTTGACTCCATGAACTCGTACCAAAATCAGACAATCAAACAGAGACAGACCAAAAAGCCTCCTTAGTGGGGTGAGGGGAGGGAGGGATAGATTTACAGCCCAAGACTCACAACAAACATTTACAACTTATTACCCAGTAGCGCTCCCAGTCCCGCTATTTTCCGCTTTCTCTCTCTCTTTTTCTCTCCTCGCCTCTTTTGACGACGATGCATTACCCTCCGCAGCAGCAGTTGCATTAGCAGCTGCAACAACCGCGGCCTTACGTCTCGCCCTCTCCTTGTCACGCGAACTGGATCCCGCGGTCCTGCGTCTCCGAACGGGTTCATATACATCATTAAAGTTCATGACGACGCCCAGGAACCGCATGTCCACGTCAGGCTGGTAGGCAAGGTCGCCTAGGAGGACGTTGAGACGAGAGCGGAACTCTGCGGAGAGGTCGCGGAGGCGGACGCGCAGGGAAGCGAGCATATGGTCGTCTGCGGAAAGGTCGTGGGGATTGAGGGAAGAAGGGGTGCCAATGCCGAAGTCATCACCACCACCACCGGCGAGGTTTGGCGTGTAAGCAGCGACGGAGGGGGACATAGAGGAGGAGACGGAGTCCTTGTGGCCTCGAAGTGGGCGACGGAGATCGCGGTCAGTGAGGCCCCAGCGGCCTTGGGCGGTGCGAGTTTCTATTTTGGCGCTGAGTTCTTGTCTGCGGGTGAATTCTGCGACGGAGAAGGAATAGAGGCCGTCGACGGCGTCTTTGTAGGCGAGCATGATTTTGAGGATTTGGTGGAGTTGGGTGAGGAAGCCTTCTTCTTGCTGTTGTTTGGGGTTTGTCGAGGAAGAGGAGGTGGTGTTGCTTTTGAAGGACGTGGAGGAGCCGAGAAGGCCTTTGTGGGTGATGGAATTGAGGTATTTGGTATGTGCTTCGATTAGGTCGTCTAGAGTGCAGCCAGGCTTGGAGATGGAGGCTTGTAGTTGGTCCCAGCTTGCTTCGATCACTTCGAATAGGATGTAGTACTGGAGTTGGCACACGAAGTGGATCATCTCGGCGATGACGCATCTTGCTCGTTTCCAGTCCGAGCCGACTTTGTCGTTGACGCTTCCTAGGACGCCGCGCGCGCCGGTCATGCATCGTCGCCAGGTGCTGCCTAGGGCGAATTCGACTCGTTTCACACGCCAGAGGAAGTTGAAGACTTTTAGGTATTGAGTGGAGCCCCAGGGTGTGATGACTACATCTACTGGGGCGTCGATTTTGTATTCCAAGGTGAAGCAGTCCCAGCCAATCTCTCCGTGACTGAGTTCTAGCATGCGGGCATCAAGTCGACGGAGGACATCGGGGGAGTCGTATTGCGCGTTTGAGGCTCGAATAGCATGCTCCAACTGGGCAGTCAGTGTATGCCGGTACTGTGAATTAGCTGGCCGGTCGAGGTTGGATGCTAATGACTCCATCAGCAAGGCGATGAAATCGCCCTGTCCGAGCAATAGGTATTTCTTTAGCGCGCGAAGATGGTCGAAGAGCTTGAACTTATCGTCCATAAGGTAGATCAGTCGTGCCATCGTAGTCTTATAAGCTTCGTCAATTGAAGACTCTAAGGTAGCCGTATCGCCGTACCGCAGTTCCTTGGAGGCTTCCTTCGAATAGGCTTCGACCCACCCCGAGTCTCCACAGCCATATCGTATGAAGTTCAGTGATTTTCCGATCAGGAAAACTTTCTTAGCAAAATCTTGTGTGATGATGGAAGGTACCATCTCATCGTCAAGCTTATACTTATCCTCCCAAACACTGGTCGCAATGCGACGTGGGTCCGTACTGGGCCTAAACTCGGGCTCGACAACGAAGAATTCTTTGTAGGGGTCAGACAGCTCGCCATCGTAGATCCAAAGCCGGAGCATATCGTAGAAGGGCCGTGTGACATGGTTGAGGAGCTTTTCTGCCAGAGCGCATACAAACGGGTCGCCATGAGAAGTCGAGAAGCCATGAATCAGAGAGATCAATTGACCACCTTTCTTGTCTGCAATATAAACGTTAGCTTGCATACAGTCCATTCACAATCGGAGCACATACTCTGAGCTTCCTCAACAATAAGACTCATCAAACGCAGCGCCATAGTTGCATCTCGCGTCCAGACAACGCATCGCTTTAGTGTCACACCACTCTTAGAGGCACTTCTAGGATCATTGGGATCTGCGGGTGCCGCCAACGCCCGTCGAATCTCTCCTTCCAACGTAGCAACTAGGCCCAGATACGAACGGAGCTCATTTGAGAGAGCTGCACGCAAGCTCTGGCTCAGAAGACCACCGCCCGAGCTCTCAACAAAGGACGACAAACCACGATATAACAGACAGGGCTCTGCAAGAGAGTTCAGAAGCGAAACGACGGGCAACGGCAGTGACGGCGGCAATTTTAAGATGGACGATGAGGAGAACTGCAGATTGGAGGAAGACAAGCCCTGCAAATTAAACGGTAAATCACGAAGAAGCCCATCTTCCAAAGGTCCCGTAGGCTTCTGCTCCTTCTCCAGACCAGGATCCGGTATTATCGTCTTCTGATCATCACTGAACGGCTCTCTCACCCCAGTATTCGCGCGACTACGAGTAACCCGAGTCTCTCGAGGCCTCTCCGTCGTCTGCAAACCCCCATCAAGCTCCGCCTCTCGTTCCTTATCCGCAAACAACTCCTGCCGTCGCACCGAAGCCTTCCTCTCAATTCTCCCAGGCAACTGAGACGCCGACGAACTAATCGCCGGCCCCTCCTCATCCGACTGATCACCAGCACCCCAACCCTGTTGTTTTGTCCTCTGCCCCTTCCACAGCACATTCTGCAAATTCGCCGGCTCGACCGGCGGACTCCTCGCCCCCAACAACACCTCATCATCCATAATGAACCCATCATGATCATCCGCCCCAGAGAGCCGATAAAGTAAGTACAAGATAGCCCACTTCTGCGACAGCACCGGCTGCGTCAACAGACGCGAGTAAAGATTCGAGAACCGCACCGCCTTATCGGGACTTGCATTCTCACGCAGTAATTTCCGTTTGATCAGGTCCGACGCGTTGTTGATGTTCTCCCCGCCTGCTAAGCTTCCCCGTCTGTTTATTCCGGGGCCCGGCGGCGAGGCCGGATCGTTGTTGGCGGCGCTCGTGTAGGTGTCGAGGATGCGCCATGACCGCTCGAGGATGTCCTGGTGTCGTCGTTCTTCTGCTGCGGCGAGGGCTTCTTCTGCGTCGTCGGCGTAACCATCGTCAATGTCGGAAAATGAGAGCGGAGGGGTAAGGGAGTCGACGAGCTGCGAGAGGGCGTCGTCGATGCGCCGCGGGCGCGCGGGTTGGCGGGTGGACATGCTTCTTTGAGGGTCTGGTTTTAGCTCGATTGTAGAGCTTTCCGGTATTTGGATTGGTACCCTTACTTTTTATTTCTTGGGGTTCGAATTGTTCTTGTGTAGTTCACAGCTCGCAGCCCACCATGAGACAATGGGTTATAGGTCGGCTGGCGCAGAATACCGCCTTTCGAGGTTAGACGCGGCGAGAAGTTAATGGTCGAACACAAGTGGATGACCTGCCAATTCGCTGGAGTTCCGGAGTCTAGGGCATGGCGTCCCGCACCAGTCAGAGGAAGACCTGGAAGTAGTGACTATGGCATATAGTTTGACGTGTTTAGGTATCAATTGCATCGGAGCCCATCGCCGAAGACTGGGTGACCCGCGTATGGAAAGGATGTTGTTGTCTTGTTTGACCCGTTTGTACGGTTTGAACCTAAATCCACCGCGTCCTGCCAAGCACGCCGTTACTGATCACCAATTGCAGGCCGTCGATCTATCAAGTACATTACAGACTACTGTCTTGAACACGCACATTCTTACAGGTGTCGCAGTTTTTGATCGAATTATCAATTGGAATTCAAGCTCAGCAAATTCCCTAGACGCTTAATGGCATCTAGCATGAAAAGATAACAATAGCAAGAAGCCTCCAGTACGCCACCCAGTACCGTGTTTCGCAGCAACAAAAAAAATTGCGAAGGCAAACACCCAGTGGCCCGCAAGTATCAGACAGACGAAGAGAAGCCCTCATAGCAAAGGGGATAGCAGAAGTGAAAAAGAGAAAGCAAAAGATAATGAGTACACAATACACCACCCTAGCCTGAAAGTACCAAATGCCAGTCAGGACGAGGGCTCTTGAGGGTCGAAGTGAACAGAAAGAGAGAACAAGTGATGAAAAAAATGAAAGCAGCCAAGCTTTTGCGCCAAGTTTGCACCTTCTGGTGATCAAGTGATGCCCATTCCACTTCAAATTCAGCCGTCCGTTTTTAGAAATCGTATACATCATTAACACCTATCCATGCCGGTGGCGCGTAGCCAAATAATAAGAGCAAGAGGTAGCAGGCAGACAAGGCGCCACACACTCTCACGTTGGCGCCTGCACTCCTGACGCAAGAAAAAGAATTCAAAGAATATCGGCCGTTCTTCAACCGAATGAACACGACCCATCATAGATGATCATGGTCTCGCATAGGGACTCATTACCGTCGTAGCCCCTGAGCAGGGATAGGTGCTCCAGGTTGCATCATACCGTTAGGGATGTTGTATGGATGCGCATCAAATCCGGCCGACATGCCATTCATCATGAGAGGACCCAACCCTTGGGCCTGGGAGACTGGGCAGTCCTTATGCGCAAGCAACAAAGTCTTGAGATTGACGATTTCTTCACGGAGCTGTGTGACAGTGGCAGTAAGCGCATCATTCTCGGAGGTAAACAGTTCCACCTTCGCTTGAAGGTTGGCAAGCCACTGCTTCTTTCGCTGACGACACTTAAGCGCAGCAACCCTGCAATCCACGTTAGCACATAGCTGCGCGAAAATGAAGCAGCGCATCTTACCTGTTCCTCTCAAGGAAGTTCTTCCGCTTCTCTTCGTCAGTCATTTTCTTCGTGTCTGTCGAGTTTTTCCTCTTCATATCATCTTCATCATCTTCAGAATCCCCGACATCGGAAGGAGGCTCAACACTACCAGACCCGTTACTCGTCTTGGCCTTCTTGTTTGACCCTTTAGGTGCATCTTCTGCCTTGCGCCTGTTGTTTCCTGCGGTGCTGGCTTTGGAACCAGTGTTCTTCTTGGCTTTGCCCTTGGCAGCAGGCTTCGTCTGCTCACCCTGCATGTCCGAAGCGTCGCCGCTGGTCTCTCTACCTGATACACCGTTCACGTTTTGCGAGTTACGTCTATCAGCGCCAGATTCAAGTTGCTGGTCATTGGCCTGAATACTCTGTGGCTGAATCGAAGCTTGGTTCGACACAGCGAATTGATTGGAATTCGCCTGTCCGCCCTTGGCCAGCATGAAAAGCCCGTTGGCCGCATCGGCAGCGTCATGATGACCGAATGGGTCGGAACCTGCAGGTTGGTTCGGCTTAATATCCATATTGGAGTTTTGCGTGGCTGGATCAGGTTCGGAAGTGGGGTTAGAGGTTGGACCACCTAAGCTGTTCTTCTTGGCAGCGTTGAGAGCAGTACGGTGGAACTCGATAGTCGACGGTGTCGCACCACCACTCTGCAATTGCTGCAGAAGTGCCTGAGAGTTTGGACTAGGAGCGGGAAACATAGACCCCCCTCCGCCCGGTGTCAAGCCAGTGCGAAGAGAAGACTCGTTAGGAGTAGGGAAACCCCTGCCAATACTGTCAAAGTAATCGCTAGTGCCAGTCGGACCGGCGAGCATAGCAGGACTCAGCGGCCCGGAGCGCAGAGAGTTGGACCAGCCGTAGCCGCCGCCGGCAGAACTTGTGCCCGGCAGGGCAGGTGAAGTAAGTGCTGCAACAGGAGGAAGGATCGACTTTCCGGGTGTTTCGCCCGAGGAACCACCACTGCCGAAAGATTGCTCGAAGGGATTGGGTTCCAGAGAGAAAGGGTTGTGGACGGAATTAAAGTAATCGGGAGTATCAGTCGCGCTTGTTATGGCTGGTCGCGGAGGCGGCGCCAACGAGGCCTGAGGATCTACATCAGGCTTGGTATCTTTGAGATCCGAAGAGGTCGCCCGGGAGTCTGTATCCGGAGCAGATGTGCGCGTTAGTATGACGACCAACAACAATAGTAATAATGATAATAATGATGATGATGATGATGGAGTACGCGACAGTGAGGTTATCTGAAACAGGGGTAGGTAGAAAGAGGTTGGCCAAATAAGGCGGTCCAGGCCGAAGTTTGAGAGGAAGGGGATCTGATAACAGTGACCCCCATCGATGACGCCAATTGTGAGGTCATCCCGACGGCGGCGGGTAGTCAACAGAACATTTGGGGGAACAGTGGCGTACAACCAAGCCAGAACAGGTCAAGGGTCGATGATGAAGTAAGGAAGTGCAAGATACAGCAGATATTCGGGAGTTTGGAATATGGGAGGTACCAGAGTTCCGCGCGCGCGCAAAACGAAGGATCGAAACAGTTTTTTTTCTTCTTAAAAGATGCACAACACTCACTCACCTTCGTCTAGACCCGCCTTTTTCGCATCCATTGGGGAAGAATTACGAGTATCGGTATGATTAGTTAGACTGGTCGAAACGGTCGAAGTAACAGCCGCAGACATAATAGCGAAGAAAGGAGGAGGGGGGAGATATTTCGGTTGGTGTCGATATATTAGATCGAGGGAGGTCGACAGGTGACCCCGGGGATGTAAGGGTAAAAAATAGCCAAGCGAGCGGACGGAAGTGGCGAGGACACGAAGAAGAATAAGGACGGGGACGGACGCTGAACAAGAAAAAAAACAACTGGAGGGGCACGGGAATGGGAAGTTAAAAAGAGACAAAGCTGGTTGATTGAAGTTAGTAAAACGCGATAAGTTGTTGATGCTTCGGAGAGCTGGAGATACTGCAGCGCAAACGCCTGTACTGAGCGAGTACACGGCAGTTCAGACAGAAGTAGATCGTGTTGGAGAGGAAGGGGAATGGAAAGGAAAAAGTTGTGACGTAGTCCGGGCTTCGACAGGGAGATTATTTAGGGGGAAAAGAAAGAGGGGAGGCGGTCGAGTGGCCGTCGGGCCACGCTATGCCTATTTGGTCTCGACTGTCTGTCACGCCGAAACCATGCAACCCTGAGAGTACAAAAAGCCCGCGGGTTACCAACCTGCCAGAGTGCAACCTCGAAACCACTAACATGGAATTCTTTTTTTTTCGAAAAAGAATTTTTTTTTCTTTTCTTTTCCTTCACTTTTCTTTTGATTTTGTTTTTTCGCCCTTCTATTTTTCTCTTTTGAGGTTCTTTTCACTCTTTTTTTTCTTAATTCTTATCTTCGGTTCTGGTTCTGTATTCGGAACCAATCTTGTTCTTGCTGCTCTTTCCTGTTTTAAATTGTATTTTTCTTTTCTCTTCCGTACTTTTTTCTTTTTGCTTCATCCACCCTATGATTTTTGATTTCAAAGCAGGAATATCGAAACTCCGCAACAGAATCTCGCCCAAAAAAAAAAAAAGAATCAAATGAATAAAGGGTAGGGGAGGTAAAGAAAAAAAAAAAAAAGGCACCGATAACTAAAAACAGCAAATCAAAAAGAACACCTTACCCTATAGTAAATGACCAGGCACTGTATGATTATGCAGGCGAAATGCTGGCTGGCCCTTACTTGCAAAAACGAAACTTGTAGACGGAGTGGATTCCCGGCAGTACTTGTCAGCCAATCCAAGCAAAGAATAACCCGGGTGGACGCGATTGTTGGATGACGGCGGAAACGATAGGCAAATTCAACCTAATAAGAAAGTGGTAGTAGATAGTATGACACACTTCCGGGTCCCGAGGAAAGAAAAATGCAAAGGTATAAGAATGTTGGTCGCTATCCAGGGATGTGTAGAAAGTACACGAAGAAGTTGCCCAAAAGTTAAAAGCTTTGGATTCGAAGCACTTGTAACCACAAACTGATCAATAAAATGTATCGGGGCAGAAGAGGGAAAGTTGGTTAAGGGCGAAAGAGTTAGGAAGGGGTAAAGAAAACCATGAATGAGATCACGGTGACGACGACAGGAATTTTCCTGGGCTTGTCGGACAGTCGGACCAGCCGGCAGTGGCCACTTGCGCACCTTTCCAAAGGACCACTAATGTACCAGCGCATCCACTTGGTCCAGCCACTCACGGGCCCGTTTCCGAGCCCCCGCCCTGCAGAGTCTCAATCTCGAGCGGGTGAACGAATCATGGAGACGACGCCATGTTTGTCCGGCCGCAGGGCGGTGAGGGATCTTCGTCTGTTCGGATGGTCGATGCCACTTCCATGCCATCGATACCCTCCCTGAATGGCCCATGGAGCAACGCCCAAATCTGGAGATACATACTGTGTAGATTTCGGGTCCAACAAGGAAATCCTTCCAATCCTCGGCTCTCTTTTATCGCCGTTGCCCGGATTCTGGGTTCGTTCTTTCTCATTTCAGGGGGGGAAGTGTTGTTCCAATCAGTCTCGCTCGGGACATCGAGTGACACGTCCGCTTGCTGATTGGGCCCCCTGCTGATGACGCAATACTTCTAGGGCCTTCGTCCCGTGGGTGTCCATCACGTGAGATTGTCTCGCGCGGTCTCTTTGGGGCCCAAAACAAGGATGAAGGAATCTAGTGGATTGCCACTTGAATTCTGGACAATCTCTTCCATTGCTCCCCGTGTGTGGTACAGGCTACATGGTTGAATGGTGGACCGGACAAGAAGGTTCGGAGTAGAGTATACGCCCCCCCTCCTCCACATTATTAGGCTTGACAAACTGTCAGTTCGCGTCTCGTTCAGGCCTTCGGCAGTGGTACTGCGTTCCCCAGACAGTACATGATAGTGCTACAGGTCAACATGTTCGTTACCAGTCCTATCGAAACCAGTCCTGTCGAAACATTCCATCATTATCGACATTGAAAGGAATTCCAGTATTCACTGTAGCTCCGGTGATAGTATAATTTCTTTTGATGCTTTGCATCATTGCCAAAGTCTCCTGCACATAAGTATGCACATGTACTCACTTACTGTATGTGATGTACCCGGTACTTCACAACCTTCAACAAAGTGCATGAAAGAAAATCCCCCCTGTCGTTCAACGGTACTTTTTGATAAGGGAGTATTTAGGCCCAACGGCTTCAATACTAGTGAAAGTATCTACAGCTGCGGTGCGCTTCCATCTCAGCTGCATGATCAAAAAAGGTATAGTCCATGTTCTATGGGACATATCATAGATTAATTGCGTTAGCCGAAATGACAACAAATCGATCCCTCCCCCTCCTTCTCTCCCACCCCTCAGCACAACAAAATGTGTTGACTTGTCCGGGGTTTGTCTGTCGCTCTTCACGCTAGTCGATACACCTAACACACAAGTACTGTTCCCACCATAATTTAGCCTTTTTTGCCCATGCAGCCACCGAAATCAGCGGTTGCCCATGCAAGCCTTTCCGAGGAGTTGGTCGGAAAGTCTAGATCGCGGACTGTTGGTGTAGGTAGTTATAGCTATGGTTATGGTTATTTCGAAGGACATGATAACTGTGCGTGTTTCTTGGCAAATAAGGTCAATTTAATTTAATCCCATTGCCTGCCATCGCTCGCACAGACGTGAAATAGGAAGAAGGTTGTAAAATTGCGCCATATTTCTCATCTTCGGCGTTGATTAACATTTAGTGAGTTTGTAGGGGGGCAGCAATTAACATCCCCTATTAAGCTTGCGACCCCATTATCAATGGCATATCACAAAACTATTGAGCCGTGCATGGAATGGTTCCAGCTTTTCTCCAGATACGTCATAAGTATGGGGATGCATGGGGTGCTCTCCACGATAAAATAACTTAAGTAACTTAATAATAGGTAGTCGGCAGCGATAAGATTAAGGTCCCTTCCTATCCTATTCTGTCCTATCCGTACACGATCGTCCCCTCCTCTATTCTAGATATCCCTTTCGTCATGAGCCGCGATAAGTCGAATAGTTCCAGGGTCCCAGCAGCACGGGAACGTGATAATGCCGCCATCCTTCTTCTCCCTCCCGGCCCCGTCCCTTGACCGTAAACTTCACCTCGACCTCGGGCCAGAAACTCTCAACACCTTGTGCCTCGTACCATGGGCCAACGTCGAAGCGAACGGACCAATTTGTCTTGCTATCGGCAGTTGGGAGTGCAGAAAGGATAGCGGGGACCGACGAAGCGGACGATGAAGTTGTGGTGGGTTCCCAGTTTTTGACGCGTCCGTCTGCGTCGGTCGTCGCCTGGAAAGTGATGGGACTCTGGCTGCTGGAGGGTGCAGATAGGAGGGTCAGTGTCACTGGGAGGTTCGCCGCGGGAGTACCCGTCAGGGTGTTCAGGACATGGCAGGTAATGGGGTCGCGAGACATTGCGGTGGTATTTTGGGTGAGGGTCGATGCTGCGTTGTAGTTGTTGAAGGGTTGTGCTGTAGAGTGGATCGGGGATTGGAGGAGTTGGTTGCGGTAGAGGCTAAGACGGTCTGTGACTTTATCTAGTTGACCACTTGACGGCTTGATTTCCGAGCTAGGGTCCATCAAGAGAGAATAGGTAGGTTATAGGTAATGATTTCAGATACCGAGAGAAAAGTAGGAATTTTCTCGAGTGTGTTCAGCGCGCGAGGGGCCTTTTCTATCCCCGCTTCTCATGCATCGGAGAGCACCGACAGAGCTACCCTGAGATGCCGGAGTATACCATCGGTGGGGTAACTCGGGGGTGGTCCCCAAAGCTCGTAGCACTACAACAGCTCAAATCTGTTTAGTGCCCCTGGATTGAACTTAAGAGTTGCAAACCCACTAGCTGATCAATTTTGATATGAGAGAGTGTGTGTGTGTGCAACCCCGGCTTGGGATGCTACGATACCAGGTAGTAGTAACGATTGGTCTTCGTGGTGCCCGTCGATCTGACCAACCTAGACTTTCTGTAACGCAAGACCCGGCTTTTATCATGCGGGAGAAAGCCAGATTCTTTTAAGTGGAGATGTCCGCTTATTCTTTCTTGTACATGTCAGGTTGCTGCAATGGTGTAGTGTCATAGAATCTCGTACTGCTTTTCAATGCCTCTAAACGCAGACAGAAGCTAGCTGGAATTGACAATTAGCTGTTTATCTGAGCTCGATTGGCAGGAATGGGTTGCTGGTCGCAAAACGAATAGCTTCAGATTTGAGTCCGTGAATAAGCGACGAAGAGCCGCCGGCTTGATTAGATTTACATAGATAACTAACTAACTAATCAAATTTATCTCAGAGAAGTGAGGCATTATGTCACTTTATTGACGGGTGGGGTCGCCTCAGGCAGAGAATGATGGCATCCGCACGTGCGTGTTGCACCGGCTCGAATGGAAACGCTTTTCTTTGGCGCTGCACATGATTCACTAAAGTGATTGTACCTGAATCTTCAGCACCTTGCTACCGCGCTCATCTGGACCTGAATAGGCCTGTTTCACGCCAGTGCTCGGGTGACACTATCTTACCGAGAACGTTCTCGAACTTATCTAACCGCCACTACTGAAAGTTTTGGGCCTCTGCGGGGAACCGATACGTGGTAAGTCCAAGCTTCAATATCGCGACACTGCCTCTTTGACAAGGAAGCTCACTCTATCGCACCCTCTCCAGACATCGAATCGATTCCTATAATAATCTCAACGAGTTTTCAACATGTCATCCGCCGTTGTGCACAGCGACGACCTCATGGAGCCCACGCTCCAGTCGGTGGTGAATCAGAAGACCTTGCGCTGGATCTTTGTCGGCGGTAAAGGAGGTGTCGGCAAGACTACGACTTCCTGCTCTCTTGCAATTCAGCTTGCTAAAGTTCGCAAATCTGTCCTCCTCATCTCCACCGACCCCGCGCACAACCTTAGCGATGCCTTCGGTCAGAAGTTCGGAAAGGAGGCCCGGCTGGTCGATGGATACTCGAACCTGAGCGCTATGGAGATCGACCCTAACGGCAGTATTCAAGATCTCCTGGCTAGTGGTGAAGGCCAGGGCGACGACCCTCTGTCTGGTATGGGTGTTGGTGGAATGATGCAGGATCTTGCGTTCAGTGTACGTGACGCACCAGTGCTGACCAGCAGAATAACATTGCTCTCGTGAAAGATGGCTGATTGTAGCAGATCCCCGGTGTTGATGAAGCTATGTCTTTTGCCGAAGTCCTGAAGCAGGTCAAGTCGCTGTCCTACGAAGTTATTGTGTTTGACACTGCGCCGACCGGTCACACCCTCCGCTTCCTCCAGTTCCCTACTGTCCTAGAGAAGGCTCTCGCCAAGTTGTCGCAGCTGTCCTCTCAGTTTGGTCCCATGCTGAACTCGATCCTTGGTTCCCGTGGTGGTCTGCCCGGCGGTCAAAACATCGATGAATTGTTGCAGAAGATGGAGTCGCTGAGGGAGACTATCAGCGAGGTCAACTCGCAGTTCAAGGACGCTGATCTGACTACCTTCGTCTGTGTTTGCATTGCGGAATTCTTGTCCCTCTACGAAACCGAGCGCATGATCCAGGAGCTCACAAGTTACCACATCGATACCCATGCCATTGTGGTCAACCAGCTCCTGTTCCCCAAGCAAAGCAGTGAGTGCGAACAATGTAATGCACGGAGGAAGATGCAGAAGAAGTACTTGGAGCAGATTGAAGAGTTGTATGAAGACTTCAACGTGGTTAGGATGCCATTGCTGGTTGAGGAAGTCAGAGGCAAGGAGAAGCTTGAGAAGTAAGTCGGACCCCCAGATATCCGGTTGTGAGAAGCATCAGGATGGCTAACCAGTCCACAGATTCAGCGACATGCTTGTGAACCCGTATGTACCCCCGGAGGGCAACTGAGGCGGATTAGCGGAGAGTTTTCAATTTAAGATTTGCTGCGAACGTTGTTTATTTGGACGAGTCATGAAAAGAGTATAGACTATAATATACGAAGCGAGAAGATGCAAGCGTGAAGATGCATTCATTGGAAAATTGTCAATCTAGCCATCCTGAACCGTGTTGAATGAGTTTGATTAGCTCAATGCTCCCCTTCTGTGCCTTCCTTTCCATCACACCTGACTTTGCTTCTCTAATTCTCCGAACGCCTCACTGTCGCCTTGTCGAGGTTCCCACTAGCTACCTCTGCAGATCTTCAGGGATGAGATTGTGACCAGGACCAGATCATTTGTGGGTCTTCCGCCTCAGGACAGGGACACTGTCAAGCAATCACCTTCTTCCTGTCCACTTGCAAGCTTGATTTCTCGATCCTCAGCCGCCTTATTTCTTTCACCTGCCCCGGCGTAGCCCCAAGATCGCAGCTTCTGCTTCGGTCACAATTCGCTTTTAAGAAACCCGGGAGTAAGTTAAAGAGCTTATTTCCTGATGTATTCATCATCGTTCCTTGATCTAGGAAGTTCTAACTCTTTTTTTCAGCCTCACCTTCAGGCCCTTGCCGAATAAAACCTGCAGTCACTATAAGAGGGCAAATAAAAGCAACGATCTGAGGCAGGGATGAAGCTGCCCAGTTCGTGGATATTGCGACACCATTGGAGAACACAGGGCCTTCCTGTCCACAGGCAAACGATGGGAGAGGTAGGCATCTGCGCTTCGAATATCTAAGGCTTGGTGAGTGAGGTGAAGCCCCACCCCCAGCTGACTATTCAGCTGAATACCAATTGGTTTGCCATGTCGCATCGCTTTCTCTATATCCGGGCCCACAACAATCGATGGCTAGGCTGGGTCTAGCCTCATACGATTCTGTGAGCCATACCAGGTGTACTGTGTCTGCAATATCCTGGCTGTCACAACAGTGGCAGTCACTTTCCGGCGCTTGTAAGGCTTGATGAGTGACTGAAAAAGAGGAAGCCGAAGCCCTGTTGAGGAGGACATGGTCAGCTAGACCGGCTCATGCAAGCGTGGCTGACTACCAAATCAGATTCGCCCAAGCCCTGATGCAGGTGACCCCTAGCTAAGGCTAAAGGCCACAGATATCGCCGCGAATATTGGCTATACAGGAAGGGGACAATGGACCTCCGGGTCTAATTCCATGTAGGATCGTGTCACTGCCCATTCTGTCTTCAACGATCGTCAAGCTTAGCTCGGCCCAGCAAGGACAGCATCAACGGTCTGAGACGAACTCCGAGGCATAAATTTTTGTGCTACGATATTTCGTGGGTACAGGCTACATGGTCAATCATGCCACGACGTTTAGATGTTCCCTTTCAGATGATGCATCTCTAGTCTAGACCTCGGAATCTGCGACAATAAGTGACAACTATGCTGTATCCACCGATATACAGATAGCACCGACTACAGCCCCGATAAACTTTGCAGAGCGATTACAGGTCAAATTAAGGACCCCCGGGAAAAAAAACCAAGAAGTAATCGGGCCGAACACTATGACTCAAGCTGCCGCTGAGAGCCGCGGGCACAAACAGTCCGGTCGGCTAAGTGGGATACAGTATGGCATGGCCTCATAGATCTGCTAACAACCCGGTCTGTATAAATGGCTCCAGGCTCATGCAGGTGTCACCGGCTATGAGGACGTCTGGACTCGAGACGCAAGAAATTCCGAAATGTACGAAACCATTTTGGGGCTGCAAGATCTAGGGGAGTCGCCAATAAACTTCGAGCAAGCATACTAGCTGCATCCGAAACGCTCGGTCCATGGAGCCACGGCATCACACATACAGACTCTACTACATACCTACATCTCCGACCACTTCAGTGGTGCATATTCACCGCAGGAATAGCCAAGCTGTGAAAATACAGAGGCGCGCGAGAAGGTGGGCGCAATATCCTTCGATTTGCGGAAATTATCAGTCTTCCCTTGGGGGGGTGTGCCCAAGCCTCACTTTTACCGACGCAAAGGGGTTGGATGAAAGAGTGAGGCGAGTTTTCCCCGGAATCGGACGTGAGCAGCAGGCCTTGCAGCCGTTCTATTTTGCTCGCAAAAGAGTCTATGTAAAAAGCCACATTCGCAAAGGCGCAGGCTTGACTGGAAGAAAATTCGCTGGGCCGATGGCGGGCGTGCTGATCAGCATCCCAAGTGATGGAGCCCACTATGTACAGTCACATTGCCCTAGGGCATTCCGGCACCTTTGAGAGACACATCCACATCGAACCCACCGAGGCGTGACGAATGAATCTTATGTCCGTTTGTTATCTCTTCTTCCTTTTTCCTTGCATGACCAGAAACCCGAAGCTAGTTATATATATGGGGTCCCTAGAAGAGAGTTCCAGTTCCAATCGAATGGTCGTCATGATCGAAAGTAGTCCACTCTATTCAGTTCAAAATCTAGTATACAACACAAACACAGCACTACATCTCTCACACTCACTACATCTCTCACACTACTTACTCCCCTATACCTAACTGAACTTACTACAAATACAACCTCACGGAGATGTCTCAAGTACAACAATACTGGCTCCCGGGATACGGACTGTCCCGTCATATAGTCTTAGGCCACATACAATACTTTCTAGGGCCAACAGCCAGCGTCAGGCCATATTCATACCAGGTAGAGACAATATACCACAGCCACATACACAAAACACCTAGAACCAAACACACTCTTCTAACACATGAACCGAACAACCTCCAGGGACGCGACGGCTACCTAATAGTCGGTGTACCACTTACAAGAGTGCGTCCCTAACTCGCCCTAGTCCTCATTCCCTTCCCCCCTCCCCCACCAACCAAACTAAAGATGAATCAATAGGAACAAATCGACGACCTAGCAACCATGTCCCGAGAATACGAACGTCAAGAATCCCTCCGAATGGCAGGTGACTCAGCCAGCCCCACCGCCGCCACTTTCGGTAGACACGAACCCTATATCAATGAGATTGTACCCGTCAGGAGTTCGGGGAGGAGAAGCAGGGCACCACCACCGCTGTCATCATCATCATCATCGTCGCAGATAATGGATTACGAACCGAGACGGAGTCGTTGAAGTGGGTTGGAACATGAGAGAGAAAAAAGGGGGAGGAAGGGATGGGTTTTCATTTTTCGATATTGGTTTAATGCTGGTTCTTGGGTCTTTTGGGTAGCGGGGATATTTGTGGTTTGGTTTTCTACTAGTTGTTGGTTCAGTTCTACAGATACCTTTTGTTACTACTAGATAGGATTGGTGATTGTTTGGGGTTCCGAGGGAAGAGGAGGAAGTGGATGATGAATTCCCTGGGGATGATATAGGGTTTGAGGACCACGGCTCTATACTAATATCTACCTCAATCCATAATGCAGCCGGTCTCGTTGAGTGAGTTAATGATAATTGAATTTCATCATCTCTATAGATCATTCGTAACAGCATAGCTCGATCACACGTAACCAAGCGACGGCGTCTTATTCGGACGAGAAAACACACCCCAATAAGACAGAAGTGTGCAAAGGACTGCTCTCACTTTTTAAGGAAACTCCCCCGGTCCTGCTTCTTCTCTTCCTTCCTTCCTTTTTTGATCCTCTGGTCGACCCAAAAATAAAAGTCCAGATATAGTTGGATAGAATTTTTGACGGTACTTCGTTCTTCTTTTTGGGGGAGTCATCACACACACCAAAATCCCGAAGGGTGTCAAACATCATAAAGAGATACACAGGGGGGAAATAAACGATATAGTGGGTGGAAAGTGGGACACAAAACGTAAATAGAAAAGGGAAAATAAGATAGAGGGTTAAAAAAGAGAAAAAGGAATAGTGGACCACCTGAACGCCAGCCTGATGCCACTCTGCTTGGTCCCATCATTTCAGGAAGTCCGCACTGCGGCGGAAGATACTACTAACATGAACAGAACCATGAAGAGAACGGTAAAAGGACGAAAGTTTCTTGTTTCGGTATGATTTCAAGAAGTGGGGGGTGTCATTTATTTCGCAACGGCAGCACTATATGATTATCCTGGCGTTAGTGACAAGCAATAGAGATGGGTCCATTGGAAAGGGTATTAGACGAACCTCAGAACTTGCGTGCGGAAGAAAGCACCCTTGGTCTTCTCAATGACCTGCTGGTACACAGACTGCGGGGGGTGGTTCATGATCACAGTGCCCTCCTTGTAGTCGATCTTGGCGTCGACACGAGTGTCGCGGATCAGGTTGACGATCCACTTCTCACCCTCATCCTGGTTCAGACCCAGACGGGTAGACAGGTCCCTGGAGATATTGGTTAGCACGGTTACGCTCTGGATGTATGTCCTTCGCGTTGGGTAACATACTTGATGTCGATCCGCTGGTGGATCTTGCAGTAGCTCTCGGAGATCAGGTGACGGGCAGCCTCAACGAAGGCATCGGCAGCCGAGACGAGGAAGAAGTCGCTCCGCAACACATCCTCAGCCTCACCCAGCTTCTTCTGGGCCTCCTCGAAATCGAAGTCAACGTACAGCGCCTTGACGAAGTCGGTGATGGGGTCGGAGTATTCGTAGCCCTCCTGGCGAACAACGCGGATCAGGTCCTTCAGCTGCTTCTGGTAGACGTTGCTGTTCTTGTGGGCACGGTTGCGGTTGGTGATGACGGCGGCGGCGAGGTAGCGCAGGATCCAGGGGCAGCTGGTCTGGATGGTGTTGATGTAGGCGGGGGAGAAGAAAAGGTCGGTCAGGACATCGCGAGCCGGGTCGTAGTTGAAGAAGGGGAAGAGAGACCAGTGGATCAACCAGGAGCGGTTCTGGAGCTGACCCAGAGGGTTGTTGAAGAGACGGGTCTCGATGGAGTCCTTGACCTTCTGAACCTCCTCCATAGCACCATCCCAGCTGGTCGTCAGAATCTCCGAGGCGAGCTTACCCCATGTGGCGGAGGCAACCTTGTCGTTGTCGGTGGAGAGGACACGGAACTGGTACAGCAGCTCAGCGGCATTGCCGTAGCTACCGCAGCTGTACTGGAAGCGGCCATAGTCGAAAAGGCTGTTGACCATATCGGCGGTGACACCGTGCTCCTCCTCGAGGAACTTCAAGTTGGCGACCTTGTCGCTGCGCAGGTTGCCGACGACATCCTCATCCTGCAGCAGCTCGGTGATCTTGGCGCTCTGCTCCTGGTAGTGTTGCAACTTGGCGAGAACCTCCTCTCTCTTCTTGACGAACTCGTCGGGGATGGTGTCGGAGTCGTTAATTTCCTTCCACAGGTTGGCAACATAGTCGGTCATGTTGGTGTGCTTCAACAGCTCGTACTTGGCGCGGATCATCTCCTTGTCATCTTCCTGGGAGCCGGAGCTGAACTCGAGGAGAGGGAAGACCAGATGGCGGTCGAGGTAGGGGATCAACTTGGGCAGCAGGTCATACTGGTTGGCGATCTCTTCAGCGGTCTTGGGCGGGTGGGCGGCAGCACCGCTGAGAAGGGTCTCAGCGGAAGGAGGGACGTTGGCTGCCATGGTGGGAGAAATAGCAGCAGTAGCAGCGGGGGAGCGGAATAAATTGGGGGGTGGTGGAGGAGGAGGGGGGAGGGGGGGAAAAGAGGGGAGGGAGAAAAAGGACAAAAACAGAAGAGAGGAAGCGATTCACGAACGGAGAGCCTCTCACAATGAGCAGCGGCAGACTTCAAAGTCAGTGTGCGGCGGCTTTTGCGCTGGCGAAAATGTGGGCGAAGGGCTGCTGGGCGCGCTATTCCCTTCTGGGCCTAGCGGAAGGTCTCCGCGCCGAAGCAAGAAATCATCGCTTCATTTCTGCATGTCGTATGTTCGTTCTCTCGCGCTCTCCGGCCCTCGTCTTGTCCCTTCTCCTCCCCCCTCCCTCTTTTAAACTCCCTTCTGGGTTGTTCTTCGATTCCCCCGCTCCTAGGAATCGTTCAGGCTGTTTCCGTTGCCTCCTCCTTGACCTCCCCCTTACCCAACCCCGATGGCATCCTTCATGCAGTCTCTGCCGGTCTGCTCGGCTTCTCGCAAGCAGTCAACCGCTGTTCCCTTCTATCTGCACAAAGCTTCACAGTCCAGAGTCTCGTCAGGGACGCGTAGCTCCTTCTCCTCGCTATGTTCTTCCGCTAGATTGACCCCCTCTCGTATGTCGCGACCCTTTCCGTCCGTTCCACCCACGGCCTATCCCATCGGGATAGTAAGCGTGGCTGTTCCTGGGCAGCAAATTCCCGAAGGGTATCTAAAAGGATCCGTTGAGCTTTTCCCTGACTTGCTCTTAGAACTCACTTCTCGTCACTCCTCCCAAATTATCTCTCAGCCCCAGGTTGCCGCCCAGCAATGTCGGACTTTCCTCGTTCAACTCAAGCGGCAATCTCAGACACTCAAGGAAACCCCGGTATCGCAACCGCCGCCCAACCTGCAACTCACAAACCTTCCTTATTTCATCCGTCGCACAGCCTCCAACCAACTTCCCGTATATCTCGTCACTAAGGCCGGCGGTACCAAGCAACAAACCAAGCTCCAAAAGACTGAAGGCGATTTGGATGCCCTGAGGAACGATCTGGCGCAGTACCTGGGATTGGAGTCGGGTGACCCCCGCGCTCCCAAGAGCCCGGATGTGACTATTAACCGTCTTAACGGTCACATCATTGTCAAAGTATGTCCTATACGATCCTCCATTTGATCATGACCGAGCTAATCTGGTTGCTTCACTTAGGGCTGGCGCAAACCTGAGATCCTGAAATTCCTTCAGGAACGCAACTTCTAAGCAAAACCACAAGAGAAGGAACCGGAGTCGTCCCTGGATCCCTTTCACTCCTCTTTTACTTTCAATCCTACGTCGGCACCAGCTCATTGAACCCATTGATACTGCCACATACACACACTTGTCTATTGTCACGCCTAGCACAGGGAGCGATGGGGATCCAGGGACAGGATGAAACCACACACTGCAGACTTGGTTACAAGAAGAAGACTAAAAAAGGGCCGAACCAGAACGACGGGATGAAAAGAAAATAAGCAGTGCATATCTGCAATGGTCAGGGATGATCGATATACTTTGGTTATAATGTCCCCCCATGATCCCATTTTCCTTTTTTTCCAAATTTCCCTCTACTTACTTTATTCCTCACTTTGTATTACTTTTCTCTCTCCTACTAGTGCTGGTGTTCCTGTCATAACTCCCTTATTTCTGCGGGGCTTCTGTTTTTCTGGCTGCTGTATGTATGTATACTGGCGTGATCTCTACCTTTTCTATTTTCTCTTTTTTTTTTTTTTCCATCTCTCAAGTCTACGGCGAACTGCTGCGGGTTCGGTACATGATTACTATCTATTCATCCGAAAGTGGTCTTATCTCCTCTTCCCTTTTATCTACTAGCTCGTAGTAGTAGTATCAGTGGATCTAACGTCTTCCGCCATATTACTCCATCCATCTTCTAGTTCCTCAAGAGAACTAGCGGTATCCTCACTAGCAGCTGATCTCTTGATCATACTACACGTCATACGATTACCCAGGATGCCGATACAGGGGTACTACGCAGCAACATGCCAGAACTTACCGCCAACTAGCCAACCTAGTAGCCTACGAACTGTTCCTAATTTGGAAAGGCAACGCTCAGACCAAGAGCGTACTATCAACCAGAATCGGTCGGTCCACTTCAGTTAATGAACCATGATACAAGTAGAGTTACCCATTTAGACATCATGCATATTTTTTTTTGTCGCCCGAGGGTATTGAACATTGTACAGCGGTAAAGCACAGAGATACACATTGTCACGCCTCTCTCGATTAAAGAAAAAAAGGTTCTTCCCACCGGCGCCTAACACACGAGATCGAGTAAGAGAGTAAAAAAGAGAAAAAAAAGAACAAAAAAGGGAGAAAACGGAGATGTAGATAGTTGTTTACTCAAAGGTTGGAAGTAGAAGACATGACAGAAGCAAACATCAACAAGGCATGTTCTAAGCGTGGCCCAAACATGAAACCTTCGGGTTAACCATCGCGCTAGAAATGATCTCAGAAAAAAAAACCCTAACCGTTCCAGAAGTTACCGCATTCATTCCGCTAGTCGTGCATAAGTTATCAATTGCCGTACCACACCAGGATCTATGTTAGGCATCAACAGTGCGCCAAGCAAGCTTTCTTTCCTTGGGATTATTCCCGACGGGAACCGTAACGTGGCGTTGGAATCAGCAAGCTTTGACTTCTCAGCTAGTCGACGCAAAATTGCCAGACCCCGATTGATTATGGAGCTGTAAGCGGCAGCCTCCGCTTCGGCTTGACCCCTTGCGGCATGGGATTGGCGGGAGTTGTTGCTTGGTGGAGGAACTCGTTCTGTGCTCAGGAGGCATGAGAGTCGCAGTAGATGAATGGCAAACCCGTCGGTCGACTCCAGCCATGACTTGGCAATAGGTCCATCCGCGAAGCCTGAAAGGATGTCCGCTGCCAATAGGCCTTGCATGAGGAAAACTTTCCGAGCATCCGCTATAGCCAAGGGTTTCCGCGGTTGATCAGGGACCGGGCAAATGGCAAGACCAAAGGCACGGGTCAACAACTCTTGCTGGATCGAGGCGCCATCGCCAGAAAAGATAGCTCTGAAGAATGTCCGGTTGGGCTCATCCCGTGCCAAAAGCTTGGCCAAGCTATCAACCGCTGCCGGTGTGTACTTATGAATAGAAGGGTTGTATGAATTGAACATAATGCCCTCCGAGCTCATAGGACCTGGGAATGGTGCAAAAGCAAGAAGGAAATGCAGAAGACAAAGTGCTTCTTCCTTACTTGGTAACTGAATGGTGTGAGCCACGTTGCTGAGGTAAGTGACTGTGTCCTTCATGAAATCCAATGTGTTTTGATGCGTTCTCAGTAGCATATTGCGAGTGCCGAGGTAACGAATGATAGTTGACATGAATTGAACAACCGGAGGAGTAGACAACATTCCAAAGTTCGACTCGATAAACGAAAAATTGCGTAGTATGGTTGTAATGCAGATGAGTCGGTCGACGGCACGGTCTAGTTCGTAGTCGAGGCTGCCGAATTCTGGTACATCCGCCAAAGACGTCCACTCCGATTGACATCCACGAGTCACTTCTTCATATGAGGATAGAAGCATCATATCAGACACTTCTGCAGCATGTTCCGCGAGAAACTCTGCCTGGTCCTCGGCGCATTCTATTAAGCTCTCCACCAGATCGTCGCAATTATCTAACGATATTTGAATCGCCGGCTCTGAAGATATGGATGTAAGCGTATCCAAGGCCATGCGCATTTCAGCATGGATCCCGGATTTGATGCTCATTGTGAGAGCGTGGATATCAATTACACCCAGCTCAGCAAAACTGGGGACATTAGGCTTCAGCCGAGAAATATCCTCCCCGATCTGATACATTTCATCAATGGCTATAGGTCCATGGAAGCTGCTTTCTGGCAAGACCATGGGTTTGTAAGGATCCTCAATTTGGTACTTCAATGGCTGATCCGACTGGTCCAGCTGTTCTGAAGGCTTCACGGGGACGGGGCCTGGGGCTTTACCCGGCTGCGCAGGCGATTGACTCGGTAATTGGCCAGTGGGATCATTTGGCGTTGCTGGAGGTTGTGACTGGCGGGAAATACTGAGACGGTGCTGATTTTGCGGTTTGCCCTGAGTTTTAACAGGTGTAGGCGTCGCGAAACCATTCGAAGCGTTATGTTGTACGCTACTCGATACAGACGCGGGACTTGGCGAAGGGTGTCCCATCTGCTGCGCATTGTCATACCCCTGGCCCGGTTTAACGGCCGGAGTCTGGAACTGCATGGCAGATGGATCACTGGGCTGGCGTGGCACCGCGGTTTGCTGCATCTGCTCCGCAAATTGCTTCTGCTGGGTGCTGAGGAAGGCCTGCTCGTACGCAGCTAGGTTCCGCTGATAATGCTCCCTAAGCTCCTGCATGGCCATCGGCAGCTGCATCGGCGGGAACTGCAGTTGCTGTGCAATGACATGCCACATATTCGCAGCCGTTATCTTCTTTGATCCTCCGAGCTTCATGACCGTAGCATAAAGCTGGACCAGGTTAATCGGGCGACCGCAAACAACGGGACTAGGATCGAGGGGAAGGTTGCGCGACATCATGAACTTCTGCAGTGACCTCATGAACCCTTCCGGATTAGGCGGTTTTGCCATAGTCTGTTGCATCTGCCTGATGGCGGCCATTTGTTGAGGATTGGCCATCGCGTTCATCCCAGCTGCCACGGGTCGCCCGGCCATGGCGGGATTCATCGCCATTGGGCGACCCTGGTTTTGCATCTGCATGGCATGCATTCGCTGCTGTTGCTGCTGGGCAGCTATGGCCTGCTGATACCCCTGAGGCATACCACCGTAATGTGCTTGCATCGGCGCCTGCACAGCGGCAGTAGTCATTGCAGGCGCGGGCGGGAACTGGGGCGCCATGGCCTGAGGGTACGGTTGATTGGGCATAAATGAGCTGTTTTGCGGCGTGTTCACCCTACTCGGATGATCGGACTGTGACGGAGACATGTGGGAGCCTACTTGAGGGCCGGCTGGGGAGAACGGGCTGGGCGAAGCTGTTCCCATACGTTGTACACCGTGTTGGTCGAATTCCTGCATGATCGGAGATTGGGTGACGTTCGGAGAAGCTCCTTGCTGGAGGTGCTGATACGGAGTGGGATGCGGAGGATATTGAGGTGCGCCATTTGCAGCTCCTTGGTACCCTGGGAATGGCACCTGGTGAGGAGTCTGAGACCGGGATGCCGCGATAGCCCCGGGAGCCTGTCGAGGCGACATCGACATGGCATCCTCCGGTCGCGGCCTTTTTGACGGAATCACCTGGTTCGGGTTGTGGAAGCCAGGGGAGGCATTTCGCGGTACGCCATTGAACATGCGCTGGAACTGGGTAGGGTCGGGAGTAGGAGAGGTATGGAGGAATGCCGCAGAAGGATCAATGGTCGCTTGGTGAAAAGCACCATTGTCATGGTTCGGAAGGTTCGAGGCGTCGGCTAGCCAGGAGGCATTCATGTCGAGTGGTTTTACCAACCCATCTGTAAGGTAACCAGAGCTGTCAGAAAAATGACACGAGCACCAAGGTCATCATCGATACGCGACCGATAAGGACAGTAGTGTTACAATCATCACGAGCTTGTTTTTTAGGGGTAAATGACACAATCTCCCAGGTGTGTAAGGTGGAAGAGGGTCTAGACGCGTCAGGTGAGGAAGCTGACAGTGAAGGGTGTCGCGCTGTCGCTCTGCGACACGAAGCAGCGACCACACACCACACCAAGGACAGCCACCCCAACGTGTAGACGGGGGAAAGACGGGGGGTAAATGGGATGATCTGGGGTGGGTGGATTGATATTTTCTCAAAAAGGAAAATTGTAAGGGACAGGCAGGATGTACATACCGACAAGGCTGGACAACTAAAAATGCCGACTCACAAGCGGATGGAGGCCGGTCCCGAATAGCAGTGGTTGGAAGGCCGGAGGGAGAGATTGCGAGGAGATCGAGCAGGTCACGGGACCATAGAAGGTCGCTGGTACCGCAAAAAGGGCAGAAAATCAAGTGAGGATTCGCAGCGGCGCTGCGAGCGGCACTGAGTGGCAGAAGACCGATCAGCAAATCGCAAGGCGACCTGGGAAGTATGGGGGTTTCAAAGTGGATTTGTGAAAATGACAAACAACAGGCTGCAGAAATAAAATTGATCAAAAGCAGAATGATGGATCAGCCATAGAAGGGCCTGTAACCCATGGAAGAAAGCAACCACCAGCGATGGCTTTGGGGGCAACGTGCGCGGTACTCCCGAGGAATGGGAGGGTAAAGGGTGGCCAGCACTTTACTTAGTGCGTGGCCACAGTTGTGTGAGGCGTGTGGTAAGGCAAATCCAATGACTGGGAGACAAGCGGGGGGGATGGGATCAATAGTCAGGAATGATAAGCGTACCTGGACTTAAAAGCTCCGTAAAGATTTGGTACACTGCAGTACCTGAAAATCTGGTATTTTATTCGAGCCGATTAATTTTGGATTTCTAGATTCCTTTTTGCTTCCCAAGGGAAGGGAGGGGGCGTCTCCTTCTGGAAAGGTGGAGAGGCACACGGGGTTGGGAAAGGCAGGAATGGGGACGGGCGTGGAGTGATCAGAGGCGCGCCTCACGAGTCGAGAATCAGATTCAGCGAGACGGGACAAGGGAACAAAAACGATAGGCAAGTTCGGATGGGCCTGGCGTAAGGGTTTCCAGTAAGTTTTATCTTACCGGTAGTACGTAGCAGCAGCAGCAGCGAGCAGCAAGCAGCAGGAGCAGGAGCACAGGTCGGTAGCAGTCGGGCAGCGGGTAAAAGGGGTGAGCCAATTCAGTAGGCGGACCCTGGTGGCAGATTATCAGTTAGTAATAACTAATGACCATGTAGGGTCGTGTATCTTACGTCATCAGTGGCAGCCTTAGATCCTGCCTGATCCCTGGTTCTAGATCGTATACTATTACTATCATACCATTATCTGTGATGCAGAAACTATACATGCATCATCTGTCAATTGTACTACATTGAAAGGGCCTTGCATTGTCTCAGAATTCATCTGGTCTCGGATACCGTAGCCATGGAATGTGTGTAGCATGCTGTCTCCTTACTATCCAGCTTCGATGACACAATATAGCATGCATTGATCCCACAATCCAAGACCGTAATTGTAGCTCGGCAGCTTATGCATGGTGAAAGAGCGATATTGAATCGTAATCTTCTCCAGCATAATTCAGTCTCATAGTAGTTCAGGCTCGGCGTACCCACAAGCTGGCCAACGTGATTCGCACCGGCCGAGGCATAACCTGCCTAATTCGGAAGTATTCCCAACCGCCCAGGTGATTCGCATTGGATAATGATTGGCCACAGCATGAACTGCTTTAGACTGCTCATAAATACTATATAATGGAACTACTATCGCTCGCCAGCCTTTACATCTCTAATATCACATAACCTCGGAGCATTCTACATTAGAACCATGACGACATCGGAGGAATGGCAGAAGATGCTCAATGGTGAGCTCTACAGTGCTTGGGATGCAGACCTTCAGGCCAATCGACAACGCTGCAAAGAAGCATGCGACAGATTCAATCAAGCTGGTCCAGTCACTCGGCGTCGCAGAGTGGAACTTTGGCGGGAGTGAGATCTTCTACCGGCTTTTGGGAACGCTCTTCAAACTGACCTCCTGATGTACAGCATCCTAGGTGATACGCGTCCTCTGCCTCCAGCCCACCCCAATTCCCAGGAGGATGAGAAGCTTTTCGAGGATACAGATCCCTTTGTGGAGCCTCCCATCTCGGTGGATTACGGCTTGAACTTCAAGGTTGGCAAGAAGACCTTTCTGAACTTCAACCTTATTGTCCTGGACACATGTCTCGTGACAATAGGTGAAAGGGTGCTTGTCGGTCCCAATCTTTGTATCTACGGGTCCACTCATCCCCTGGACCCATCTGTGCGACGGGGTCTGGAGGGCCCAGAAGCTGGCAAGGAAGTGCATATCGAAGATGATGTCTGGATAGGAGGCAGTGTAATCATCTTAGCCGGAGTTACTATCGGACGAGGCAGTACGGTGGGAGCTGGATCTGTGGTGACAAGGGTATTTCATGCCATATTCTGGCTATTAGGTCTCTGAACACATCGGTTAACCTAATTGCAGAGCGTTCCTCCCTTCCATTTTGTTGCCGGAAACCCAGCACGCATCATTCGCCGGGTCGAAACGAGCATGGATCCCGATCAGCGCAGAGAAAGTCAGCCCGCGTGATGCAATAACCTTTACAATATGTCAATATTCGCGATCTACTTCTAGATAGACAATCGATAACCCATCGGCGATTTGCAGATCCTGCAAATAAGAGGCATGATTATCGATGGTAACCGATGTACGTATAATTTCATATGATTAGGTAGTCATGCTGTCGTGCCAGTCCGGGGGAGTGTGTCTAGGTTGAGTGGTAAGCTTTGGAATTCCCGAAATATTAAGGTGTCACTTACAAATGCCGTCCATGAGATATTCGTATAATCATCTTCGGCCTGAGCCGCACGAGCATCCCAAACCTTTCTTAAAATATCAGCAGGGACCGGATTGCGAAACTCCGATCTCCGCTCAACTTCGCGCAGTCTCGTAAGGACATAATACTGTGAATGACGCGAGATACAGTCGGATCCTGCCATAAAGAGTGGGAAGACAAGGATCTCCAGTAACGAGCATTCCGGAGTGATGATCGCCGTCGCGTCGAGAATCTTTCGAACACACTCTTGTATATCAGAGCTGCTAGCTGGCTTCGACGGGTCTAGCAGCCGAAGAATACGCAAGATACATGCAAACTGGAAAGCCTCCGCTATGAATAGCCAGAGAGGATCATGACTAGGGTACTCTCTTCGTTTTGGATCCCATGCATAGAGCTTGTGCTTTGCTAGGAGCAGGGCGATTTGATACTCATCCCAAGTAAGCCAGCCTAGTGTATGTTCCTTTGCCTTTTCCAGTGCTGCGCCGATGACCAGAAAGACTTCTCTCGGGCACCCATTTACCAATTCGAACTTTCTATCGCTGGCGCAAGCAACTAGCTCACGAATATCCTGAGAAAAGCACATTCTCTCGGGGCCAGCAGATGCTCGAATTATGTCAAGCCTGGTTTTTCACTAGTGAGCTTTGTATCGGAATAATCAGGCCTGGGTCAACATACCAAGCCAGGTTACCGAGGAAGAACATGGCCCGCTGGCGTCGGCCATGTAGCCCCTCGGCGATCAACAGCTGTTTACAGACGGACATGGCACCTGTGATGTGAATGCCATGACTCGATACCCCTGATTCAGAAATCTATTTCCTGTTAGTTAAGATGCTCGACCAATAGATTGTGGCATAAATAGGGCACACAAAGCCTACATCATGAAGCAACAGGACCTGTATTATCGCTAAGACAGTATCTTGTTCGTCTTCGAGCAAAGATGTTCTTTGGCTCTTACGGATTTCTTCGCTCAGGGCACGTATGGCTTTCATACGGTATTCAACCGCGGTGGCTTCGTGTAGGAACTCATCACCAATCACCCGCCCGAGGTGGGAAGCAGAAAGCCCAAGAACAGCGTACAATAACCCGATTTTCTTGCGCGCCAGCGGAAGAATATATGCTCGGTAAGGGTTCTCTGCGTCATCCCCAACCTCAGCTATCTGATGTGGGCAAATAATCTCATCATCTGCAGCATATCTTTAGTGCCTTGCTCTCAACGTTTTGAGGGGTGCAGCCTACAATGGCTTAACAGCCTAGATGTGTCGGGCGAATCGAGAAGCGTGGTTACATCGTCTGGAAGCTTTAGCAGCGGCCGACTGTGAGCTTCAGCTGGCTTTTCAGAAACATTTATTCCCTGTGCCGTGGTCTTTGTGCTACCACTCAGATTGGCTGAACAAGCCTGATCACTTTCCATGTTGGGGGGAGGAGTCTCTGTAACTTCCTGGGTCGGTGGCACCGGGGTATCCAAAGCAGCATCGCTTATTCCTGATCGACCTCCGGTAGGGATTCTACTGTTGGTCGGTATCCGAGCACCCTTCCATTTACCTCGACTAGCAATTCCGCAGAATCTGAACCGTTCTGGGTATCCTCCACATACTAAACCTTTCGAGACACATCGTTGGCAACTCGGACGGCCACGGTCACACTTCCGGCACTTTTGCCGGCAGGTCAAGCAAGCGGCACCTGTGCAGGTGAGTAAGTATCAGGCTATCACATATATTATAGGTCGTTACAGTCCTACCAGCTCGTGGCATTCCGCCGTCAACCTGCGGGCTTACTTGCGCATGGGAGGGATAGTTGGTAATGTGGAATTCCTAAAAGGGCGATGGCATCACATGCAGGGAATGCTCCTTACTTCCAGAACCTCGCGGCGTAAACCCCTGTGACTGCTGTTGCTATTGGGTGAATAGAGCTCACAACGTGTTCTGTACTATCCGACCCCAGAAAACGAGGCTTCATCTTCAGCCTGCTGGTTATTTTACCCGATTAGGCTTCAAATTCAGGATTATGTAATGAAATTGGTCATGTGACTGTGTTGATGAACCATGCACCATTCCCACTTTAGGCATTCACCCAGCCCAACTGAGTCTGGAATCTTCGGGTCTACCACAAAGAGTACTATAGTTGGTTGAATGGGGACTTTTCTTCCCTCTGCAGATGCTTGAGTCGACCCAATATAATCTACCCAATAACTCATTCTATATGGCACAGGCACGCTGCCTTCTAGTTGTTACACTATGCAGGTTGCTTGATTTTCCGTAGCAACTTTTGGATTTGGCCGTTCGCCAAATTGGCGTTATTCGGTGCTATTACACGGATGATAGCAATTGTCGCCAGTCTAATAGCTAAGTAGTTGATGGGCTTTAGTAATGTACTAGGAGCCTGAGGTTAGGTACGGGTTGGATCCGTTGGCCCATCGTTGGAAAGAACAGCGAAAAGTATTTACAGTAGTTGGCTTTCGTGATTTATCTCATAATGGCAATATCCGCCGGAAGTATATATTTGGCGACTGTAACATATCTGAAATACTTGCGAAGCCACATCAGCGCATTCACAAGATGAGTACTTTTTTTAACTTATATGTTTAAATTCTATAGAATAATAAAGTACACATATAAGCGCACCAACAAAAATGAGTCTTGAGTGCCAAATTATTAGCTATCGTCCATACTGAGCGAAAGGCTCTGTCCTGCGCTATTATATCAGCTGGACCGCCGAGCTACCAAGTCACATGACCACTGCCCGTGAGCTTCGTGAGCCGGGCTGTCTGGCATCGACGCAATAGATCCAACCAGCCAAATCCTTCCCAACTTGCCCACGACTGATCCATCCACTTCTTTCTGGGACATATTCTCTCTAGCTTACAGTTAACTGCGCTTGCTATTTTCACACCCGCTCCGTTTGTACCAAATTTCCGCCATGGGAGACGTCGCCGTCGAGACCCCGGCGAACAACGTCACGCCTCTCAACAAGGCAGCTCCATTGGACACGATCCCCAACATAGACTCGCTCGAGGGCACAGGAAACGACGGGAGCGATGAATATGCCACATTGAAGAGATTGCAGAGACATCTAGAGTATGTTCGAACGGCGATGATGGCGGCCGCGGCACATGTTGACTCTTCGATAACAGGTACATTCAACTTCAGGAGGAGTACATCAAGGATGAGCAAAGGCAAGCTATATATCATCTTCCTTCGAGCTTATCTTACCCGAGCTAACATTTGCTACTCGTACAGGAGCTTGAAGAGAGAACTCGTTCGTGCGCAGGAGGAGATCAAGCGGATACAGAGTGTGCCTTTGGTTATCGGCCAGTTTATGGAGGCGATCGATCAGAAGTATGGTGCCGCGCAGAGCTTTCGACATAGAACCAATAACTGATTATCCTAGTACCGGTATTGTGCAATCGTCGACTGGCTCGAATTATGTCGTCCGTATCCTCTCCACGCTCGACCGCGAGAAGCTCAAGCCTTCGTCTTCGGTCGCACTCCACCGTCACTCCAACGCCCTTGTCGATATCCTACCCCCGGAGGCTGACTCCTCCATTGCTATGCTGGGCGAGAGCGAGAAGCCAGATGTGACTTATGCGGATGTTGGTGGTCTTGACATGCAGAAGCAGGAGATTAGGGAAGCAGTCGAGCTGCCCTTGACGCACTTTGACCTTTACAAGCAGATCGGTGAGCATAGCCTCCTTTCACTGCTGCTTCTTCTGTTAAGAGTCCATTACTGATGCTGGCGATAGGTATCGATCCTCCCCGCGGTGTCCTCCTTTACGGCCCTCCCGGTACGGGTAAGACTATGCTGGTCAAGGCGGTGGCAAACAGCACGACCGCCAGCTTTATCCGTGTAAACGGCTCGGAATTCGTTCAGAAATACCTGGGTGAAGGACCTCGCATGGTTCGTGATGTTTTCAGAATGGCGCGGGAGAATTCACCGGCTATCATTTTCATTGATGAAATTGATGCCATCGCCACGAAGCGTTTCGACGCCCAAACGGGTGCAGACCGTGAGGTGCAGCGTATCTTGCTGGAACTCCTCAACCAGATGGATGGATTCGAGCAGTCGAGCAACGTCAAGGTCATCATGGCCACCAACAGAGCTGATACTCTGGATCCGGCCCTGCTTCGTCCGGGTCGTCTGGACCGGAAGATCGAGTTCCCGTCTTTGCGGGACCGGCGTGAACGCCGGTTGATTTTCTCTACGATAGCATCCAAGATGTCTCTTTCGCCGGAAGTTGACCTGGACTCGCTGATTGTGCGCAACGAGCCCCTCTCTGGTGCGGTCATTGCCGCCATCATGCAAGAGGCTGGTCTCCGTGCTGTCCGAAAGAACCGTTACAACATCATCCAGTCGGATCTCGAGGATGCTTACGCCGCCCAGGTGAAGACCGGACAGGAAGCGGATAGGTACGAAGCATTGTCTATGCTACCCGCGATCGGGACATGGCTAACCAAGCATACAGACTCGAATTCTACCGGTAAATCAAGTATGGGACGTGCATTAGGCTGGATATCGGATTACACAAGGCGAACAGGGGGACCGTTAGCTGTATTATCAACATCTAGGCTACTTCATATTAGGACAACGACTGACGCATTGGGTATTCCGCTGGGGTGGTCTATCGGTTGGGACCAAGTACCTTGTAGAAAATAGAACAGTAACCCACGTTGATACCGCCACCTGGCTAGGGCGGTGATCCAACAGATGCAAGCTCCAGTTGGACGGCTACCCGAGCCTCTTAGGATCTACAGGAGTACGTGTCTGGCTCTGTGCTGCCTATTTAGTAGACAGGTCAGCGATAGGTAGATAGGACCTGTCCGCATAGCAAGGCGGTTGCGCTAGTTTGAAGTAGGCAGGCACCGGGAACCTAAGGCGGTCTTACATCATCACCCGCGCTCGGATTCGCGTGATCCGACCATCACGATAAGGCCTCAAGGAACAAGGGGACCTCCAGGAAGCTTCGGATGTGACTCAGAGGGAGATACAAAGATGGAAAGATGGAATAGCTAGACTAAACTTATCGTACCTGATTTCTAGGACCCTAGAGAGGATGTACCTGGGCGACCTGGCAGCTACAATCATCTGGAGCGATAACCCGTGACGATCCCCTTGCCAAATGACGCAGCCAGGCTGGCCAACCATTGGCTGCGACCTGGCAGGTCGCTCCGCAACCAGCGCCTCCCGGCTCAAGTCACCCGCATCACTCTTCCCTACCCCCAGACCTCCTCTTTCCCCTGCTATCCTCCATCTCCTCTCCATCGTTCTCTGTCTCTATCATCATTTCTATTCATACGTGCATCCATCAGTTTTTTTGACCCAGCCCGTCATATCCCGCTGGGTAGCCGTTTCAGCCGTCGCCCATTATGAAGTCAGCCTCCTTGCTCACAGCATCCGTGCTGTTGGGCTGTGCCTCCGCCGAGGTTCACAAGCTCAAGCTTAACAAGGTGCCTTTGGAAGAGCAGCTTGTGAGTGTGGCCTTATCATTGCATCGTTTTCTTAGCTAGCTAGCTTCTTTGGCGCTCCAGTATGATTCAAAGCTGATTCCGTGGTCTATAGTACACGCATAACATCGACGCCCATGTCCGCGCTTTGGGCCAGAAGTACATGGGTATCCGCCCGTCTATCCACAAGGAGCTGGTCGAGGAGAACCCTATCAATGACATGAGCCGTCATGATGTTCTGGTGGACAACTTCCTGAATGCACAGTGTATGGAGATACCGTCTTATATGGCTGATCGCTGCTGACCCTTCTTGCCATAGACTTCTCTGAGATCGAGCTGGGTACTCCCCCCCAGAAGTTCAAGGTTGTCCTGGACACTGGTAGCTCGAACCTTTGGGTTCCTTCGAGCGAATGCAGCTCTATTGCCTGCTATCTCCACAACAAGTATGACTCGTCTGCCTCGAGTACGTACCACAAGAACGGCAGTGAATTCGCCATCAAGTACGGCTCTGGCAGCCTAAGCGGATTCATCTCTCAGGACACCCTGAAGATTGGCGACCTGAAGGTCAAGGGACAGGACTTCGCTGAGGCGACCAACGAGCCCGGTCTTGCCTTTGCCTTCGGCCGGTTCGATGGCATTCTCGGCTTGGGCTATGACACCATCTCCGTGAACAAGATTGTTCCTCCCTTCTACAACATGCTTGACCAGGGTCTTCTTGACGAGCCCGTCTTTGCCTTCTACCTTGGAGATACCAACAAGGAGGGTGACGATTCCGTGGCGACTTTCGGTGGCGTCGACAAGGACCACTACACTGGCGAGCTGATCAAGATCCCCCTCCGTCGCAAGGCTTACTGGGAGGTTGACCTTGACGCCATTGCTCTTGGCGACGATGTTGCTGAGTTGGATAACACCGGTGTCATCCTGGACACTGGTACTTCCCTGATTGCTCTGCCTGCTGACCTGGCCGAGATGATGTAAGTCAAATGTCTTGGATGTCTTGGTTGAATAAACAAGCTGCTAACAGTCTTCTAGCAATGCTCAGATCGGTGCTAAGAAGGGCTGGACCGGCCAGTACACCGTCGACTGCGACAAGCGCTCGTCCCTGCCCGACGTTACCTTCACCCTTGCCGGCCACAACTTTACCATCACCTCGTATGACTACACCTTGGAGGTGCAGGGCTCTTGCGTTAGTGCCTTCATGGGCATGGACTTCCCTGAGCCGGTTGGTCCTTTGGCCATTTTGGGCGATGCGTTCCTGCGCAAGTGGTACAGTGTGTATGACCTTGGCAACAGCGCTGTTGGCCTGGCTAAGGCTAAGTAAGCTGGTTCTGCGGGTTGATGTGGTATCTATGATGCTGCTTTTGCTGTCATCATTGCTTCTTGTAGCTTGATCTATGATTTTGGCAGACGAACACACGTAATGTTGTGAATGGTTATCCTCATGTTTGCAGCGGTTACCGGATAGATTCTAGGGATCTTCAATGGAAAGCCGGTGATATTATTTGACATGTGTTGGCACTTAGGATGTAACTGGTTATGCAATATGATAAAGTAACTACTTGAAACTGATTGAAATTGACGTAAACCGTGTGATACAGTAACAATAAGAAGCAACCGCGGTACCAGCCGAGTCTGGGCCGGCGAGTCTCGCCCCGCACAGGCCAGGCGCCAAAACCCAGGCAACTCTTCTTGGCAGCCAAGCCTTCTTCATCACGCTCTCACCACCTCCTCCATCCAGACTTTCTCTCTGCTCTGTCTTTGTTTCATCATCCCCCACGACTGCCCTTCTCTTTAGCCGCTCTTCGATTTCCATACCCGATCGCTTCTTTGTCCCTTCGTCTGCGCTCGACCTCACGAGCCCAGATTGACCCGCTTTCCACCTTTACCCGATACACCTCTACAGCGCAAACCCGCGCCCGCCTTATTGACTTCGTCGCGTTCTAGCGTGGCGAACCATCCCGCGACAACTCCATCACTTGTCCACCTGACCCCCGTTCTATTCAAATACACTTCCTTCGTATCGAGATCCTCGTGCGCCGCTGCGATTAAGCTAGGTCGCTGTTGTTTCTACCGACGGCAGAAGTTTTGGGAATGGCTTCATAGCTATCGAGCTCGATCCTTTTCTTTCTCCCTTTCGTTTCCTTCCGCTATCGAAAATAAACCCGTCCGCGGCCCCTCGCCCGACACTGCCTCACTCTCGGTGTTAGGGAGGCAGGAGGGGGGTTGGATACCTACAATTACCAGGAGAGCTTGCTGAGTCGACCTGTGTGAAAGAGTTATCCAGGCATGCTTCTCCGGTTACCGCCTAGCCTCCATTACCCGATCACCGTCACATCGCTGCTGAAACAGCCCGGTGATAAGGTGGAACGGGATGAGGCGTTATTCTGGTATGTGTACCAGACGACTGTGACGGAGGGGGATGGGCTGGGGAATAAGGTGGATGTGAAGCGCAAGTTCCCTACGAAGTTCGAATCGACGGTTGATGGGGAGGTGGTGCAGTGGAAGATTGAAAAGGGGGATGTTATTGATGAGCCGTATGTTCCGATGCACCGCTGTCGTTCATTTGGATCTGGTGTTGGGATGCTGATATTTGGCTAGGGTCGATGTTTTGGAAGTTGATGAGCCATGTGCTCATGAGGTTCAATTTGGTGGGCTCTGTGCTATTTGTGGCAAGGATATGACTGAGTAGGTCGTCTCGGGTGTTTTTGTGTTGGGCTTGACTTACGATTGTTTGCAGTTTTTCGTACAATACTGAGGTGACGGATGTGCATCGCGCGCCGATTCAGATGGCCCACGATAATACCACGTTGACGGTCAGTGAACAAGAAGCTACGCGGGTGGAAGAGGATGCGAAACGCCGCTTACTGGCGAATCGGAAACTGTCGCTGGTCGTCGATCTGGACCAGACCATTATTCATGCTACCGTCGACCCGACTGTCGGAGAGTGGATGCAGGACAAGGAAAACCCGAATTATCAGGCTCTGAGCGATGTGCGTGCGTTTCAGCTGGTAGATGATGGGCCGGGAATGCGCGGGTGCTGGTACTATGTGAAGCTACGACCGGGGTTAGAGTCGTTTCTGCAGAATGTGTCGGAGATGTATGAGCTGCATATCTACACCATGGGAACGAGGTCCTATGCGCAACATATCGCTAGTATCATAGATCCAGACCGCAAACTCTTTGGTGATCGTATTCTCAGCCGAGATGAGAGTGGCAGCTTGGTGGCCAAGAACCTGCACCGGCTGTTCCCGGTGGACACCAAGATGGTCGTCATTATCGACGACCGCGGGGACGTCTGGCGCTGGAACCCCAATCTTATCAAGGTGTCGCCGTACGACTTCTTCGTCGGCATCGGGGACATCAATTCTAGTTTCCTCCCGAAGAAGCAGGAGCTGGGACCTCCCAGCAAAGGGGGTGAGAAGCCGGTAGCCAAGGCAGCCAAGGGGGGTTTGGCGGAACATCATGTCAACGGGGCGACGGCAAAGAGAGACGACCAGACAGAGGTTTCGACGTTGGAACAGCTGGTAACAATGGGTGGTGGCGATAATCCCAGGTTATTACAAGAGCAGAGCGATGCACAAGAGGAGACAATCATGCATCAAGTGGAGGACCGGCCATTACTGCAGAAGCAAAAGGAGCTAGACGCGGAGGACGATGCAGCAGAGAGCAGCGATACATCCAGCAGCATAGACGATTCACAAGATCTGAGCAAGCACCGACATCACCTACTGGAGGACAATGATCGGGAGCTGTTCGACCTCGAGGTGCGTTTGGAGCAAGTACACCGGGACTTTTTCGACGAATATGACCGACGACGTACACGGGCACTGGGCGGACGAGTCGCCGCCCTGCGCGGCGAAAAGCCGTCCAAAGAGAAGGACGTCGACCTGAAACTAGTCCCAGACGTCAAGATCATCATGCCCCAAATGAAGCATCGAATCCTCGGCGGCGTGACCCTCGTATTCTCGGGCGTGCTTCCCCTCGGCACGGATACACAAAACGCCGACATCTCCCTCTGGGCGAAGAGCTTCGGGGCGGTCATTGCATCGAAGATCAACATGAAGACCACGCATCTCGTCGCCGGGCGGAACCGCACAGCCAAAGTGCGCGAAGCGACCCGGTACCCGAAAGTCAAGATCGTCACGACACAATGGCTCCTGGACTGCCTGACACAATGGAAGCGCTTAGCGGAGGAACCGTACCTCCTGCCTGTGCATCCAGACGACCGCGGCGAGCCAATCTCACCGGGATCCAAAGAAGTAGCGGAGAGCGCGTGGCTCTCATCGTCGGACGAGGCAACGGGCGACTCTGTAGCGGATGACGAAGAGGCAACAGAGGAAATTCTCAAATCCGCAGGCATATCCGAAATGTCGCCTCTCGGCTACGACGACGAGGAGCAGGCCGCGGTCCACGATGAGCTCAAGGAGTTTCTGGGCAGTGACGATGAGAGCGAGAGCGACAGCGAAGCCACATTCATGGATGAGCCAGGCACTCCTGCCAGCAAGAAGCGGAAGCGCGAGGAGGGAGAAGGCGGCGACGATGACGACGACCAGGATACGGATAGTGCCGGCGAGGGCGACGAGCCAGGCTCGCGGCTAGCGCAGCGGATCAAGCGGTCATACGAGCGCAGCACGGGGCTGAAGGAGGTAGCCAGCGCAGGGGCGGTCGAGTCGACTGCAAGCACAACAGCATCTGCAACTGAACCGGGGACAGAGGAGCCAGAGCAGGTTGCTGACGAGTCGAGCCCGCCTGATCCAGCAGAGGTGGATCCGGCCGATGAGGATGACGAGTTGGAGCGCGAGATGATGGCTGCACTGGAGGGAGGGGATTACAATTCGGAGGCGGAGGAACAAATTGCGAATGAGAATGGATAGTCAGGTAGCTAGGTTGGGATATTTAGTTGGATGTATTTGGCGTTGTGATATTTGCCATGTTTGCCAATGAGTGATGGCATAGCGAGGGCGTTTGAGATATATAGGAAAATACAACACTGAATATATGCTACAGATACCAATATAAGATTGGGCATAACCCTAGTAGCTCTATATTATCCATTGAAATCATACAATCATATCTCATAATACATGACCCATCCCATCCCCCGTCTTCTTCTCAAAAGAGAAAAAAAAAAAGACTCAACGATAAAGATCCCGATTAACCTGCCACGACATAATAATCATCCAAACATAAAAGATAGTATTCACCAATTCAAACGCAAACGCCGTTCTCCAACAATTGCCTGCAGCCAACACCAATTAGCATCATCCCAAACCCTCACCCCGAAGGAAAGAATAAAAACTTACAAATAGTCTCCTCCTCAATCCACGCCAACGTCTTCCACCCATCGGCCACAGGCTTAACATTATCAATATAATTGCGACAATTATCATTAACGTTCGCGACGACCCCATACAACTGGAGCGATGTCTCGACTAGTCCCGTTAACCACAGCACGAAGAGAATAAACCCCCCTATGATGATTATCCCGGGCAGGAGGAAGCGTTGCGCGGCTAGGATCAGGATGAAAATTACGAAGAAGATGCCGAGCGCGCCGGTTGTTATCATGTAGGGGAAGAGCCTATTCCTCCTCCCGGAGGAGGAGGGGGGTGTTAGTATGGTGGTGGTGGTGGAATTGGAGTTGGGGGAAGGGGGTTTAATAGTAGTATGAAGGGGAAAGGGTAGTAATCGTACCAAGGAACTTCCAATCCCAAGTCATTTTGAACCGTCATGAACCAGGCGAATATACCCAGGCAAATTGCGGATGAGGAGAGAACCACGATGATCCAGATGTTGAGTTGGAGTTCGGGCCAGTGGTACCGGCGGGGACGGCGGTGGTAGATTCGCATTGCCATTTTGGTTTAGTATTTATTCCTTTCTTTGGGGTTGGGGTTGTGGAGGTGGTGGTGTGTAGTATATAGACAATTGGGTTGACGATGTATATATACTAGTAAGTAGTAGTAGTAGTGTGTATCAAGAATGATCTTCCGGGGTATGCTGATATAAATTTAATATCGCATTATATCATCATATCAGGCTGAAACAATAACTCCGCCTTAACCCTCATTCAACTTAGTATTGACAACGCATCAGGGTTGACCGTAAATGGGGGAAGCTGGGGCGAGGCGTGGGTTGGGCGGATATGATATGATGCCTGGCGGGTCTAGAACTGTGCTTGATGTGTAGGTATTGAGGCGAGAAAAATCAAGGAATGACAATTGACAAGTTAATGAAAGAATGCAAGAAAAGTAGTTCAGAGAATGAAAGAAAGACAGACAGACAATTATTGCCCGCCGTACTTACTACTCTTCATCATGGGCGTTGGAAATTCCGGTGGCAGGACGGAACTAATGCGGTGGCAGGGCGGGTAAATTTAGTAGTAGTACGTATCTACATCCATCCATCCATCCATCCATCCTTCATTCTCCGCATGGTTTCAAGCTCACACTAATTAGAGTTACTCCGGATAAGCTTTATCGTTGATTGATTCAGATTGCTCATTAGTTCTCTAGTTCTACTCTAGTTCTCACCCCCTACAGCCACAGGCTTCTGCATTACAGCAAGGTATCTCCCAGGGCACTCCGCACAATCGAACATCCCGTCCGAATAGTGTCGCTAGCGCCATGCTCCTCCAGGCTGGGGTTCACCTCCACCAAATCCATCGCCACCAGGTTACCCGTCTCGTGCACACACTCGCAGATGAAGTCACCCTCGCGCAGCGTCAGTCCACCACGCACAGGGGTACCCGTGCTAGGCGCCCACTGCGGGTCCAGCGCGTCCACGTCGAACGACAGGTGGATCGGTGTGTCATTGCCAATGTGCGCCAGGGCCATTTCGACCACGCGGCCAATGCCGTACCTGCAGGTTGTCAGAACACCACTGCATCATCGGAGGATACATAAGGGTAAGAAGGAGGAGGAGGAGGAAACCTACCGATCAACATCATGCATGCTAAACGCCTTAATGCCATGCTCACGAAGCAGCTGCTTCTCACCGCGATCCACGTCCCGAAGACCAATGTACACCAGCTTGCGGGTGTTAACAATGTGCTCATCCTGCAGCCAGCCGAAGATGTCCTTTTGTTCCTCACGAGCCAAGCGCGTCAAGAACGCCATGGGCATACCGTGAATGTTACCACTAGGGCTCATCTCAGGAATGTTGATATCGGCGTGCGCATCCACCCAGATAACAGCCATCTCACGACCCAGTCGCTCACGAATCGCCTTGGCCGTGCCGGAAATGGTACCGATAGCGATGGAGTGGTCACCACCCAGGGTCAGCACGAACTTGCCCTCCTTGGCGTGCTCGTAGACCTGGGCGCTCAGCGACTCGGTAACGGCGCTGACCGACCGGGGCTTCTTCATGCCGCGGTGGTCGGGGTCGGACTCGGGCATCTTATCTTCGTATTGGTGGACCTTCTCGTCATAGTGCAGTTCGTAGCCCAGATCGTCGCGCAGTTGCTCGAGCAGACCGGCTTGAACGAGAGCCATCGGGGCTGCTTCGACGCCCATCTTGCACTGTGGTCGGGGTGTGTATGGTTAGTGGGGGTTCTTTTTTTTACTATGTATGCACGCTACTAGATGATCGACGGATCCGTCGCCATAGAATTCTTTTGTACGTACCTGCCCGCCATTGAAACCAACGGCCACGACGCCCAGCTGGTTGGGCTTGGAGAGGAATCTCTGCCGGATTGTCGAAGGAGAAGTCATGGTGAATGTATGAGAGAAAGAGGATAGGTGAGGGGAAGAGTTGGAGGGGTAGGTCGCGTGGGATGAAGGAAGGAAGAAAAAGAAAAGGTTCTAGAAGGGCGGACCCAAAGATGAGATAAGATCGTGAGTGGAGAACGATCCGAGGTAGACACCAAAGCACCACCACGAGAGGTTGGACCCTTAGGAGAGATTTAGAAAAAGAAGGAGAAGTTAAAGAAGGGATGAAGGAGAAAGAAGAGTCCAGATAATACTGAAAGAAAGAAGAATGAAACCGGATTGCAGGGGCGACGAGCCGGTTAAAAGCATTCTCAGCCGTGGGGCGTCCGCGATCGCTAAGACCTGCTTTTAGGGAACGGTTGTTCCCCTAAGTACAGGTCCAGGAGAGCATCCACTTCCTCCGCCCGTTTCCATTAGCAATTCACCCCCGACAGATGACGTTCGGGGATAAGAGGGGATAAGGGTGGGGGAAAATCACCGTGTGATGGGTATCATGCATGCTTGTTGCTATCTATTGCTTTATCTATGTACTTATACAGGTATACATTATCGCTGATCCAAGATCAACTCCCGCAGAATCGCATCTGCTCTCGGCGCTTCCACTCGTCCCTTCTCGCCCATGCGCATCATCTGCCCGACAAACCAGCCCAGCTTGCCCAGTTGGTTCTTTTGTCGGATCTGTTCTACCATGGCGGGGTTCAAGTTGATTGCTGCCTCCGCCAGCGCTACATACTCCTCGCGCGACAGTGGCCGCAGCAGCAGGTTCTCCTCCTCCAGCAGCTGGGGGATCGGCCGCTCATCCCCCGCGAACACCATGGCGAGTACCTGCTTCGCCGTCGGCCCTGTGATGTGCTTCCGCTGCAGCTGGTCGATCAGCGCGGCCAGGCTCGGGGCAGGCACCCGCGCCGCATCCCACGCTTCCTCCGCTTTGGCCCATAGCCCCCCAAGTTCATGAAGAACCCAGTTGCCGGCTACCCGCGCCAGTCCTTTCTGTGCCTTGGGGTCCTGATCCGACTGCAGCGCTCGCAGGAGGTCCACGACTTCCTGATAGTACTCCAACCGGGCGCCGTCTTCTAGTTCCACCAACGGCTTCGCGTCCTCGATGGGCAGCCCATACTCCGGCCCGGCCAGTAGTTCAATAAGCGCATCCGAGGACGTTGGGAGATTGGTCTGAAGCGCTGCCACGAGGTCGGCGCCGATGTATAGGGGCGGAAGATCCGGGTCGGGCATATAGCGATAGTCGACCTCCCCCTCTTTGCCTCGTAGTTTGCGCGTTTCGGTGCTTCCAATCGTCCAGCCGCGGGTTTCACCTTCTACCACCCCGCCACTCTCAAGGACGGCAATCTGCCGGTTCTTCTCCGCAATGATGGCATCCTCGACCGCCTTGAAACTGCTCAAGTTCTTGATCTCCGTGCGTTGTCCGAGTCCGCCGATGCCACCGTACTGATGCGTGCCGGCTGTGTCACCTCGCTGGCGGATGGAGACGTTGACGTCAGCCCGCAGACCTCCCAGCTCCATGCCAGTTGTCACCGCATTACATGACTGCAAGATGGACTGGATTTTCCGAACACAGGCCGCCGCGGTGGCGGGAGTATGGATCTGCGGCATAGTGATGATCTCGACGAGGGGATGGGAGACACGGTTGAAGTCGAGGAGTTGCGTCGAGGGCGGGTATTCTTGCGATTTGGCGGTATCCTGTTCCATTTGGACCTGCTTGATGCCGATGCGAACCGTGTCGCCGTCCTCAGGCGCAATGCCGTCGTGGCGGAACAGGTCTACATAGCCATTCTTCGCAAAAGGCTCTACTCTGGTTAGAGCACTAATCGGCTGAGAGAGAGAGAGAGAGGGGTATAGATTACCGTAGTATTGGGTGATCTGGTACCCGGCCGGCTGGTCCTGGTAGAAGTAATGCTTGCGGTCGAATTTGCTGACTGGCTGTATCTCGCAGTTCAAAGCAAGGGCGGCGCGGAGGGCGGGGAGGAGCGTTGCGATTTGAAACTCCTACACCATAGCTGTAAGTGTCTGCACCTCATGCATAGAGAATTCATCCACAAACCGGTTGCGACCCCGGGAATGCTAGATCGAACAGCGCAACGTTTGAATTGGGAAGATCCGTAGATGATGTAGACGCTCCTGCTCAGCGATCAGCCAGACAATTCAGTCCAATTGTCTAGAATCCAGTCACACACGCGAAAATAATTTGGACTCGGTGTTCAACTGCGCGTGGATCTCAATGCCCACGGTCAACTCCCACTTCTGTCGGGAGGCCTCCTCATTCTCTCTCGTCTGTCGCTTGCGCGCCTTGACGGCCTTGGCGTCCTGTTTCAGCTGCTTTCGCAGGGGAATGCGGTCCGGCGAGTCGGTCGTCGCAGTTTGGAGGGATCGAATGGGATGCGACAGGGACAAGGCAGGAAGGGGCCGAAGGGCGCGCCTGGCAGTCTGCGGCCGGGGAAGATGGCATTGCGGGCAGGCGAGCGAGCGGGTTGCTCGCGGGCACTGCCGAAGCCACGGTCGAAGCATGAGCCCGAGGGCAAGGAAGGTAGGCGAAAGAACGGGTCCACGAGAGGAAGAGGAGAAGATCGGACCGGTCGCGGTGGGAGAGATGGCAAAGAAATTGACACGATCTTGAGTCTGGAATCAGGATTGGAATCGATGAAGGACGGAATTAAGCGCGGGCGGAGATCACGGCCCGTACCATACGGTAATTACCCTCACCGCTGGTATACCATCGAGAGAATGGATATCATATCGATATTTGGTACGAATAGTAACAAAGTATACAATAACTCAAATGAAGGAATGGAATGGAATGGAGGGGGATACTACTTAGTGCGATAAGTAGTCATCATATGCACCAATGAGCATATGTCCGAATGATGTTCCAAGACATCCTATTCGCGATGCGCTGTGAACAGTTTCGGAGGCAGCCCAGTGCCAGCGGTTCAGCTGCAAGTCATGCTTCCAAGAGTAATTCCAGGAAAGGGAATGTCATGCATTTTGACTTCAACCCGCGGATCAGCGGAACAAAGCAGACAGAGAATGAGAGCGGGATAAAAGTTAGATACAAACAACAACCCCTCGATACCAGCACATGAATGGCTTCTCACCAACTCATCGCCGGGGATGGATGAATGACCCTACTTAGGGCCATCGTGTCCAACAACGATAACGCCGAAGAATTTCAGCCATGCAAGGTGGGATCGGCAGCGAGTCACCGTCAGCCAACGCAGCATAAACTTCGAGGATGTACCAGTACCAGTATGGAGGGGGAACAGATGATCCCCAAGTGAAGCCCGCATGGATTGATTTGTAGTATAGAAAAAGATGTCGAGTTGCTGCTCTTCAACTATCGATAGCATGTGGATCCTCTGCACATCCCACCTTCTTCTTTATTTCTTCCCTCATATTTTTTTACTTCTCCCTCGTCCTTGTCGCTGCCTCTCCATTGCGCTTCTCTTTTTCTACTCCTCTCATTTTCAGTCCATGTATTAATAAATCGTCCATCTCGCAATCGAGAAAAAGAAAGCATTCAACTTCCCGTCTCTGACAGGGAAGGGCCCCTCGCGATCGGAGCAGATCAGGAACTCGGGGCGCCTACCACCACGAATGAGACTTCCTCAAGGCTGCCTCGCGTCCAAAAAAAGGACCTGTTCAGCGCTTTTCTTCGTCGCTCTTGTCGGAGATTTGTCTCATCTTCGTCCCTGGGTGTTGGGGGCTGATTCGCCTTGTCCATCCAGTATTTACTGTTGATTATTTCCGGTTCTGACTGTCATCCCGTCTACCTTCCATCTATACAATTAATTTCTCTCTCTCTCTCTCTCTCTCGTTCTCTCTATACTGCCTAGACCCCAAACCGATCTAAGAACCGGCTAATCGGCGGGATCTCCAGTGGAGGGATCCATAGTCCGTCAGTGATCTTCAAACTACGCTTGTCAAGGGTATTCCGATCCGCTACACAGGGAGGAAGAGAGACCTATCAACCGCATTCTGTCCTACATTCTTGGACCCTCGTCCGATATTCGCGCCGTCTCTGAGGCCCTACCCTTCTCCCTTGATATGCCTTGGGCGGTTCCCCTCCAAACACCATTACCCTCTCAAAGTACCCTCTGATTGTTCTCTCTCTTCATCTCTTGGGGTATGGTCTGAAGCCGGAAACACTAGTTCTCGCTGCGGCCTCTTGAAGCTACCATATTGACCACTAGTAACTACCCGATCTACCCATGATGCCCTTCTACTCTAGCTCGACTCGTTCCAAAAAATCTAAGAAAGATGGGACGAGCAGAGCGTCCACGGCTTCGGTCATTTCTTCGAACTCGCATTCCACCAAAGGCCCCAAAGTGTCAGTGGAGAAACCCAAGGTAGACAGCCAAACCCAATCTACTATATCAAAGAGCAACAGCAACGGGTCCACTGCACGGCCACAAGCAGCTCAGAACAAACACGATTCCGATCGCAAAGCACCCAATGTGTTCGAGTACCTCGAAGATAACTCGACTACAACGGATGATTCGTCTGATGACGAGTACGAGCATCACCTACCCAGCAATAATGCCAAGGGGGCATACAAGAACGCAGTCCGTCAGATGTATCGCCCCGCCGCGCAAGGCACTGATGCCCGCAGCCGTACCTCGTCCATACTGTCAAAGTCCTCGGCGAATTCTCAGAAAACTCCCAGTTCAATCGACATTCCTCCAAGCACCGTCACCTCAAACACCGTGAAGAGCCACATCCCAGCGCATAAACCCTCACTGGACGGTGCATACAGTGCGGTGGGGGCGTTCCCCGACGGCTCGAACTACTATGAGAAACGAAGCGTGGACTTGAATGCAAGACCGGAGACGTATTACCCTCAAAATTCTGTCTCTCTTCAGCGGTCACCACTACCCCCGTCCCCGCCGCGAAGCCCTGAAGAGGACCTTCACCGGCCCACGCGACGGAACAGGCGCAACACCAAATCCTCCTCAGACATCTCCGGATATAGCCTTCTCGCTACCCGGCTGAGCTCGGCCACGGAGACCCAGGTGCCCCGTCTCCCTCCTCTGTACCGCCGGTTCGAGAATCTCAACCATCGCGTCCTGCTTCATCTTCAGGACGAGATCGCACAAATGGAGGAAGACCTGCGTCTAGTGGACGAGTACGAGGAATTGCAACGGGCCGCAACGGCCGAGCAAGAGGGCACGAAAATGCTCCCTGCCTCCCGGCGTATGGATGCCCAAGCACAGGTGTACTCCTCCGTTCACTACCGACGTGAGGAGCTCCTCAGTGCGCTAGCTCGAAAGACCGAGCAATACAGTAAGTGCCAGCTGCCGGCCGATTGTGGATCCGGATACTAACAATATATCTTCTAGACAATGCCCTTAGCGCATATAGCAGGGTCCTTCAAACACTCCCCCGCGCCTCTACGCAGGATATCAATACGTATCGGAACTGGATGAAACAAACCAACCCCGTCATCGTCGCTGAGACACGGTTCCTTGATTACACCAAAGACCTGATCTCTCTAACTCCACGTATGGCTTCTACCTCGACCGCAAAGCCTATCTTCACCACCATTATCATTGCCTCTACCGCCATCCTCCTACCATTGCTCGCATTCAGCATGATCTCCGAGTTCTCCGGTCGTCTCGTCGTAGTCGCACTCGTAGGAGTCGCTGCGTCAATCATCGCCTCCACCAACTCCACCAGCGCAGACCAGCTCGTTGACTCTCGGGACGGCTGGCGATGCGCAACCATGTATGTTTTCCTCCTCCCCACTACAAAACAATAACTAACCCCACGACTCAGATACTTCGGCTTCATGACCGTCGCCGCAATGTTCATCCCCTAACTGACCACTACTAACGATTACCTCTAATCAAACTAATGACTCGACGAATTTTATTTGGGTAGCGTACGTCTAGCGTTTCTTACACTCGGATATTATTGAGCCTTGAACAGATTGAGAAACTGGATCTTTTAGAAAGATAGGGCAGGCGTTAACGACACTGGACTGGAAAAACAGATGACAGCCTGGGGTGAGAAGGGGTTATAGGGTGCGCCAAATAGCAGAAACCTTCTCCTTCTTCCCCGTCGTACTTACTATCTACCTCTTAATATCCTGTCTTTGGTTGATTGATTCTTGTCATGTATTTGAGCGTGTATAATGATGAGAGATTGCTGTATACTACATTCGTTTCACCAATTATGAATTACCAATAATGGGTAATTAAATTAAGTCTTAACCAACCCATAATTCAACATGAGATGAATAACTCTAGTACTAAGAAAAAGATGTCAACCCGAGCATCCGAGAAATATTACCGTCATCCTAGACAACATTCCTACTAGTACCTAGACTCTTGGAACTATGTAGATAATTTGTTCATCGATTTATTGACTCTGATTTAATCAATAGTAAAAGATAACTTCGTTGGGAATGTAAAAGTAGAGAAAGTAAAGTAAAGCATAGAAAAGCAAAGCAAACCAACGAGATGAATAACATAGAACATCCTATCCATTCATCCATCCATACAAGCCCGTAGAATACCAATGGTTTAAGAAACATCCGTCCTGTCGTGTCCTGTTGGGTTGACAACATTGAAACAAAAGAAGAAGGGGACCAGAACTTGCATCTGAAGCTAAATCTAGAAGAAGCAATCAATCACTCACTCAGGAATTGTTGCGTTGTGACACAGGGGGAGGGGAAAAAAAGGATTAAAAGGAAATGAATAGAAAATAGAAGAATAATTGGTAGAAGTAGAGTAAGTAAGTAGTAAGGGTTATCATCGCTGAGTGGGAAGGTTATTATCCAACATGGATTTGACCGCCACTATACACATATTGGAATTCGTCATTGTATTGATTTGGTTTGTTTTCCTTCCCGGTTGTGGGGTCATTTTCTTCTGGGGAGGTTTTTTTTTTTTTTAAGCTCTGTGAGTGGTAAAAGACCATTGGGAAGGGAAAGGAAGAAGTGAAACAATTGAAATGGTATAGTGTTAACAAGAGGAAAAAAAAAGTTAAAAATAAAAAGGTTAAGAAAGAGTGAGGAAAGACGAATAAAAAAGTTAAGAGTTAATCAAACGCATATCCCTACATCTCGACCGTGTCTCATCATATCCCCCGCTCATCATGGTGCAGGCGTGCCGTTCTGCTTGCTTCCTGGCGTTGCACTTCGTTCTTGGGAGGCTTCGCCTGATGGCTGTGGTGTCGCTGAACTGGGTCGGTTTTGAGCTGCTGCTGCTAATTGCACTTTGTTCCTCTCCATCATAATGGCTTGCTCGGCAGCGCTCCGGGCATAGGTCATGGCCGCAGCTGAGTTGGAGTAACCTCCCGATGGCGGTGGGGCTTGGTTAGAGGGGTAGTTTCCGTATGGAGGGGGCTGCTGGCCTGGTTGTTGTTGTTGTTGCGGCACGAACCGTTGTTGTGGGTTGGCTGAGCCTGGAGGACCGAAGGAGCCTCGGGGGTAGCGTAAGAAGGAGGTTTCTGTGGGGATGCGCTACGTCCGGCTGTATAGGGCGCGTTATAGGGCGCAGGTTGTCCGGGACGCGGTGTGTAGGGCTGCGGAGATCCCTGACCCGCGGCGGGAGGGCCCTGTTGTCCCGGGTAAGGGTGGTAGCCGTTTTGGCCAGGACGTTGGTACTGATTGTACTGCGGGGTGGGCTGCTGCGCGTATCCAGGGAAGTAGCCCGGTCGCTGCTGCGGCGTTGACGGAGGGCGGGCTCCAGCGAATTGCTGGGGATGACCAGGAGTGTATGGCGCTGG